TGCAGCACAGAAAGCTCATGGATGGAGGGCTCTCATGCTGCTCCGAGGGTGGTAGTCAGGGGCTGTGAGGCACAGGGAATGCTTGGATGGAAAGGTGAGTAGTCAGAGGATGTGGGAGCAAAGAGTGCATGGATGTGAGGGTGGGTACTCAGAAACTATGGGAGCAGGGACTGCATGAATGTGAGGGTGGGTGGTCATGGGCTGTGAGAGCAGGGAGTGCATGGATGTGCAGCTCTCATGCTGCTATGAGGTTGGGTAGTCAGAAGATGTGGGAGCATGGAGTGCAGAGATATGAGGGTGGGTAGTCTGGGGATGTGAGAGAAGAGAGTGCATAGATAAGAGGGTGGGTAGTCAGAGGCTGTGGGAGCAGAGAGTGTATGGATGTGAGGGTGGGTAGTCAGGGGCTGTGAGAGCAAAAAGTGCATGGATGTGAGGGTGGATAGTCAGGCTCTGTGGGAACAGTGAGTGCATGGATGCAAGCAGGTGTCGTCATGGGCTGAGGGAGTACCAAGTGCACGGAAAGGAGGATAGATAGTCAGAGGCCATGGAATCAGGGAGTGCATGGATGGGAGGGTGAATAGTCAGAGGCTGTGGGAGCAGGGAGTGCATGGACGTGAGGGTGGTTAGTCAAGGGCTGTGGGAGCAGGCAGTGCATGGATGTTAGCATGGGTAATCAGGGACTGTGGAAGCAGCAAGTGCATGGATGGGAGGGTGGGTAGTCAGGGGCTGTGGGAGCAGGAAGTGCATGGATGGGAGGATGGGTATTCAGGGGCAGTGGTGCACAGAGAGCGCATGGATGAAGGGCTCCCATGCTGCTCTGAGTGTGGTAGTCAGGGGCTGAGAGGCACAAGGAGTGCATGGATGGGAGGGTGGGTAGTCAGGGGCTGTGGAGGCAGGGAGTGCATGGATGGGCAGCTTTCATGCTGCTCTCAGGGTTGGTAGTCAGGGGATGTGGGAGCAGGGAGTGTACGGATAAGAGTGTGGGAAGTCAGCGGCTGTGAGAGCAGGTAGATCATAGATGAGAGAGTGGGTAGTCAGGGGCTGCAGAAACAGGGAGTTCATGGATGTGAGGGTGGATAGTCAGGATGTGGGACCAGGAAGTGCATGAATGGGAGGGTAGGTACTCGAGAGCCCAGAAAACAGGGAGTCCATGGATGTGAGTGTGGGTAGTCAGGGGCTGTGGGAGCAAAGAGTGCAGAAAAGGTAAAGTGGGTAATTAGGGACTGTGGGAGCAGGGAGTGCATGGATGTGAGGGTGGGTAGTCAGGGGCTGTGAAAGCAGTGAGTGCACGGATGTGGGAGGGGGGAGTCAGCGGCTGTGGGAGTACGAAGTGCATAGGTCAGGGGGTGGGTACGCATGGGATTTGGAAGCAGGGAGTGCATGGATGAACAGCTCTCATGCTGCTCTGAGGGTGGGCACTATGGGGCTGTGAGAGCAGAGAGTATATGGATGTGACGGTAGGTAGTCAGGGGCTGTGACTACTATTAATAAATACTGTAAGAGTAGAAAAACGCTAAATAAAAAGTATGAGTTCTAATAAAGTAATAATCTAACTAAAATGTGAAGAGAAAGAAGAAAGTGAAATAAGTTCATTGATTTCTAGATGCTAACAGGTAGATGTGAAATAACATCTTTTGAAGCTGACAAACCAAATAGCAGAAAAACAAATAAGGAAAAAGAGAAATAAATTTTTAGAATGATATTAGTACAGGAGAACCTAGAACAAAAACACAAACCTTCAAAACTCCACTCTTCCCTAACAATTTAAAACATTAAAAAAAAAAAACACACATAAAAAGTTTAAACACATAACACTAAAAAGACATAAAAAGGAAACACAGTAAAAAAAAAAAAAGGAAATAGAGCAAAATACACCAATAAATAAATGACTAAAAAGATGGCAAAGTTGAGATGAAACATGTTGGCTATATTAATAAATACAATGAATTTGTGTTTCCCCACTAAAAGAAAAAGAATTTCCAGGCCAGGTGCAGTGGCTCATACCTGTAATCCCAGCGCTCTGGGAGGCTGAGGCAGAAGGCTTGCTTGAGTTTACCAGTTGGAAACCAGCCTGGGCAACACAGGGAGACTTTGTCTCTGCTAAAAATAAAAAACATTAGCTGGGTGCGGCGGTGTGCACGTGTAGTCCCAGCTACTTTGGAAGCTGAGGCAGGAGGATCCCTTGAGCTGGGGAGGTCAAGGCTGCAGTGAGCCAAGACTGGGCCACTGCACTCCAGCCTGGGTGACAGAAATAGACCTTGTGTCAAAAAACAAAAAAAAAAAATTGTACTGGCTCACAACACAAAAATCAATTTGGTGCCATATAGAAGAAGCATACCTGAAACAATGTGATTCAGAAAGGCTGAAAATAGAGATGAGTAAACGTATTTCCAGAGAACAGAAACAAGAGATTCTGATATTATGCAAGGTAGAATTTAGTTTCGAAAAACTTGCAGAACAGCAACACGATAACAGACAAATAAAAATTGTCTACTTTAAAATGTTAAAGGCTACAATTTACAATGAAGATATGCCAGGCATGAGTACCTACCCAAATAACACAGCAACTAACCTCTTTTTTTTTTTCTTCGGTAAAACAAATCGTTTATTGCTGCATATGTGTTATATTAAATTTACACGCTGATATATAAAAGCACATACTGTTTATATTATACAGTAATTTAACATCAACAGGAATAGCAACACAAGTACTACTCATGCATAAAACATGCATAGATCGGTATACAAAAAGCAATTTCACACACTACTGCTTACCAGATATTTTTAAAAAAAAAAAAAAAACAGCCCTTCCACGAAGGATCAGTGGTCCAATCTGGACTGGAGTGCACTAATATGTTTAGGTCAATGCTTAGGTGGCATAGTGCTCAGTGAGCAATTCTGGGATTGGAGTCATGCCCAAGGGTTCTTTCATTAAAAGTGAATGTCCCTGTGCCTGAGGACCAAAATTTTATCCCCAAAGCAAATCCTCCAAGGAATAAAAGGTCGGATCGTCTACAAATTAGGGAGTGGGAAAGAAGGCACCAAAATGTTAGATAAACGGCCCTAGAAGGGGTTATTGGGAACAGGGCCTAGGCACCAAGTGTGTCAAAAGCTTTTGTGGATCCTTTTAAGTCCCTATCCAAGTTGCCATCTCTGGATTTAAGGTCCAGCCTCCAAGTCATGAGTCCAGTAAAAACACTTCTGAGAAGAAAACCGAATGAGGATACAGCTGAAAAATGGAGACTACAAAATACTATAGAATACAATGACTGCCCCTTGTACCTACTTCACACTATTGCATGTGATGCCCCTCAACAGGAAACCCCGCGTGGAGACACTGCCCCGAGACTCAAGGAGCAAATACAAATCCAAAAATCCCATCCACCTGACCTTGGGATCAAAAGGTCTCATCCCAACAAAACCTGAACATGAAAACCTGTACCTTGCCGGATGCTCAGAAAGGTTACAATACAAAACAGCTGGTACCACAAAACTCACTATCACCACCATTAAAACGTCAACATTTACTTCTAACTAACAAAACATTCTTTACCTTCCCTTAAAGACACTAGCATCCATATGTGATGTAGATGAGACAATAATTTATCTTGGTTTTAATCTTAAAAGAAAAGCATCCCATGAGAGTATTAGACAAAAATCAAAACACCACCTTTTTTATTTTGGCAACTAGGAAAAAAAAAATGACACTTTCTACACCAATGACATCACTCAAACCGTCGTCATCAGTTTCAAAGAGCCAGACCGAAAGCGGAGGATCTTCTTCTTGAGGTTATGTGAGGCCTTAATTTTTTTTTTGAGACGGAGTTTCGAGCTTGTTACCCAGGCTGGAGTGCAATGGTGCGATCTCGACTCACCGCAACCTCCGCCTCCCGGGTTCAGGCAATTCTCCTGCCTCAGCCTCCTGAGTAGCTGGGATTACAGGCACGCGCCACCATGCCCAGCTAATTTTTTGTATTTTTAGTAGAGACAGAGTTTCACCTTGTTGACCAGGATGGTCTCGATCTCTTGACCTCGTGATCCACCCGCCTCGGCCTCCCAAAGTGCTGGGATCACAGCGTGGGCTCCAGAGCCACCGTGCCCGGCCCTTGGTTTTGTTTTAGACGGAATCTCATCCAGTCGCCCAGGCTGGAGTGCAGTGCTGCCATCTCGGCTCACTTCAACGTCTGCCTCCCGGGTTCAAGAGATTCTTCTGCCTCAGCCTCCCGAGTAGCTGGGACTACAGGCTCATGCCACCACGCCCGGCTAACTTGAGCATTTTTAGTAGAGGCGAGGTTTCACCATATTGGCCAGGCTGCTCTCCAACTCCTGGCCTCGTGATCCGTCCGCCTTAGCCTCCCAAAGTGTTGGGCTTAGAGGCGAGAGCCACCGCGCCCGGCCACAAACTGTCTTTTAAGAACAGGAAGTCGGGCCGGGCGCGGTGGCTCAAGCCTGTAATCCCAGCACTTTGGGAGGCGGAGGCCGGTGGATCACGAGGTCAAGAGATCGAGGTTTCACCTGGTCAACATGGTGAAACCCCGGCTCTACTAAAAATACCAAAAATTAGCTGGGCATGGTGGTGCGCGCCTGTAGTCCCAGCTACTCGGGAGGCTGAGGCAGGAGAATTGCTTGAACCCAAAAGGCGGAGGTTGCGGTGAGCCGAGATCCTGCCATTGCACTCCAGCCTGGGTAACAACAGCGAAAACTCCGTCTTAGAAAAAAAAAAAAAAAAAAAAAGAGCAGGAAAAAGAAAGGTAATATATATTTTAAGGAGGTCCAATTTTAGGGGAGATAATAAGCTTGGGTTAGGCGTCTGAAGTCAAAAGAAATGCGGTAAAAGAAACACACGTGCAAACTCCAGCAGGCACCAGCTAGACTTGAGTAGAGAGAGCAGGTCCACGTGGAGGTACAAGTTGGAAAGTTGCAGCTGCGAGGGAGGGCGAAGGCGGACTACACTCACGCCGTAAGCCCTCTGCTTGACAAGCAAAGCAGGCGAGACTCACGGATGCTGCTGGTGTGACGGCGGTCGTGGTAACGGTGGTGATGGTACCGGCAGCTAACAGATCTTGAGCGTGCCAGGCCGAGCCGAGTCCTCTACGGGCAGAATGTCGCCGCTCACCGACAGCAGCCCCAAGAGGACCAGGTGATTTAGTGATCTAGCCTCCTCCCGCGGTGCCGGGCTGACTTCACCTTCTCCGGAACACACGTGCGAACCTCTGGCCCGGGAGGGAGCCGGTCTCCGGCCCTGAGGCGGGGAAGGGCTCCCCTTACCGGAGAGGGACGCGGCAGCCGAGGGGCGGCCAGGGCTCGGTCTCTTCCGCTCCCGCCCCGCCCCGCCCCTCCCCAGGCAGCCGCCCCTCGCCCGCCAGAGGGTGACTCCGCGCGTCCCGGGCGCGCCCACCCCGCGGACTGGGCCCCGCGGCACTAGCCTTTTCTAGGTCCCCGCCCAGGCGGCTCGCGCGCCCGGCGGCAGCTTACGGGACGGTGGGGGCGGGGTCACGTTGGGCGGCGTAGAAAACGGCGGGCGCGGGCACGTCCTGACGCAGCCTGGGCCGGCGGTGGCTGCCGGAGCTGGAGGAAGCCGACGCCGAGAGGTTTGGAGTCGCCTAGGCTTGCGGTCGGTGAGTAGGAGGAAGCTGGCCTTTTTCCTCAAGGTCACCGGCCGCCGGGGGGCCTTGATCGGGGCGCGAGTGCCGGCTCGGGCGGCCGTGCGCGGCCTGCGGTCCGGGACGCGCCGGCGACAATGCGCCGGCGTCAGGGGAGAACATCGCCGCGCCGCACGGATCTCCGGCGGGTGGAGCGGGTGCTCCCCGCCGGCGGTGGAACGGTCCGCGCCCGCCCGGACTACCCTGACTACCCAACGTCACATCCACGCTCTTCCTGCTTACACAGCTCCTGACTACCCACCCTCCCGACCTTGCACTGCCTGCTCTCACAGCCTCTAACCACCCACCCTACCATTTCTGCCCTCCCTGCTCTCACAGCCCCTGACTAAGCACCCTCACATCCATGCACTCCCTGCTCCAACAGCCCCTGACTACCCACCCACCCTTTCCTGCACTTGGTCCTCCCACAGCCCCTGACTACCGCTGCTCACATCTATGCACTCACTGCTCCCATAGCCCTGACTACCCAATCTCCCATCCATGCACTCCCTGCTCCCACAGTCCCTGACTACCCACCCTCCCATCCATGCACTCCCTGCTCCCACAGCCCCTGACTACCCACCCTCCCATCCGTGCACTCCCTGCTCCCACAGCCAGTGAATACCCACCCTCCCATGTATGCACTCCCTTCTCCCACAGCCAGTGACTACCCACCCTCCCATCTATGCACTCCCTTCTCCCACTGCCCCTGACTGCCCACAGTCACATCCAAGCATTCCCTGCTCCCACAGCCCCTGACTACCCACCCTCAGAGCAGCATGAGAGCTGCCCATCCATACACTCCCTGTTCCCACAGCCCCTGACTACCCACCCTCCCATCCATGCACTCCCTGCTTTCACAGCCCCTGAATAGCCATCCTGGCATCTATACACTCCCTCCTCTTAGAGTCCCTGACTACCCACCCTCAGAGCAGTATGAGAGCTGTCCATCCATGCACTCCCTGCTCCCACAACCCATGACTACCCAGCTTCACATACATTCACTCCTTGCTCCCACAGCTTCTGAATCCCCACCCTCTCATCCATGCACTCCCTGCTCCCACAGCCCCTAAATAGCCACCCTGGCATCCATGGACCCTGCTCTTTCAGTTCCGACTACCCACTGGCAGAGCAGCATGAGAGCTGTCCATTCATGCACTGCCTGATCCCACAGCCCCTGACTGCCCACCCTCCCATCCATGCACTTTCTGCTCCCACAGCCCCTGACTATCTACCCTCCCATCCTTGCACTCCCTGCTCCCACACCCCTAAATAGGCACCCTCGCATCCATGCACTTTCTGCTCTTACAGCCCCTGACAGCGCACCACCATAAGAGCAGCATGAGAGCTGTCTATCCATGCACTCCCTGCTCCCACAGCCCATGACTACCCACCCTCCCATCCATGCACTCTCTGCTCCCACAGCCCCTGACTACCCACCCTCACATCCAGTCACTCCCTGCTCCCACAGCCCTTGACTACCCACCCTCACATCCATGGTCCCACATACCCTGACTACTCACCGTCCCATGTATACATTCCCTGTGCCTCAAAGCCCCTGACTACCCACCCTCACATCCATGTGCTCCCTGGTCCCACATCCCCTGACTACCCACCTTCCCATCCATGCATTCCCTGTGCCTCACAGCCCCTGACTACCACCCTCAGAGCAGCGTGAGGGCCCTCCTTCCATGAGCTCTCTGTGCCCCACAGCCCCTGACTACCCATCCTCTCATCCAAACACTTTCTGCTCCCACAGCCCCTGACTACGCACCCTCACATCCATGCACTCCCTGCTCCCACAGCCCCTGAGCACCTACCCTCCAATGCAAGCACTCCGTGCTCCCAACCCCTGACTACCCAACCTCACATCCATGCTATTCCTGCTTTCACAGCTCCTGACTATCCAGTGTCCCGACCATGGACTGCCTGCTTTCATAGCCCTTAACTACCCACCCTACCATTTCTGCACTTTCTGCTCCCACAGCCCCTGACTAACCACCCTCACAACCATGCACTCCCTGCTTTCACTGCCCCTGAGTACCTACCCTCCCATTCGTGTACTTCCTGGTCCCACAGCTTCTAACTACCCACCCTCACATCCATGTACTCCTGCTTCTGCAGCCCCCGACTACCCATTCTCCCATCCATGTTCACCCTGCTCTAACAACCGCAGACTGCCCACCCTCTCATCCATGCACTCTCTGCTGCCACAGCCCCTGACTACCCACCCTGAGAGCAGCATGAAAGCCGCCCATCCATGCACTCCCTGCGTCTACACTTCCTGACTAACCACCCTCTCATTCATGCACTCACTCCTCCCACAGCCCCTGACTATCCACCCTCACATTCATGCACTCCCTGCTCCCACAGTCCCTGACTATCCACCCTCACATCCATGCACTTTGTGTTCCTACAGCCCCTGACGACCCACCCTCACATCCATGCCCTCCCATATCCCACAGCCCCTGACTACCCACTTCAGAGCACCATCAGGGCTGCGCATCCATGCAATCTCTGCTCTTACAGCCCACAACTACGCACCCTCCTATCCATGCACTTTGTGCTCCCACATCCCCTGACTACCGACCCTCCCGTCCATTCACTCCCTGCTCCCACTGTTCCTGACTACCCATCCTCACATCCATGCACTCCCTGCTCCCACAACTTCTGAATACACAGCCTTCGAGAAGCATGAGAGCTGCTCTTTTATGCACTCCCTGCTCCTGCAGCCCCTGACTACCCACCCTCACATCTATGCACTCCCTGCTTCCACAGCCCCTGACTACCCTCCCTCAGAGAAGCATGAGAGCTGTCCATCCATGCACTCCCTGCTCCCATAGCCCCTGACTACCCACCCTCACGTCCATGCACTCCCTGCTTCTACAGCCCCTGACAACCCACCCTGACGTCCATGTGCTCCCTTATTCCACAGCTTCTGACTACCCACCCTCACCGCAGCATCAGATCTTCCCATCCATGCAATTTCTGCTCTTTCAAACCACGACTGTCCACACTCCCATCCATGCATTTTCTGCTCCCACAGCCCCTGACTATCCCCCCTCAGAACAGTATGAGATCTGCCCATCCATGCACTCCCTGATCCCACAGCCCCTGACTACCCACCTTCCCATCTATGCATTCTCTATGCCTCTCAGCCCCTACCATTCTAAGAGTAGCATGAGAGCCCTTCATCCATGAGCTCCCTGTGCCCCACATCCCCTGAGTACCCACCCTCCCATTTATGCACTCCCTGCTCCCACAGCCCCTGACTACTCTCCCTCCCATCTGTGCACTCTCTGCTCCCACAGTCCTGACTACCCACCCTCCCAACCATGCACTTGCTTTTCCCACAGCCCATGACTACCCACCCTCAGAGCAGCATGAGAGCTGCTCCTTTATGCACTCCCTGCTCCCACAGTCCCTGACTACCCACCCTCCCATCCATGCATTCTCTGTGCCTCCCAGCCCCTGACTACCATCCTGAGAGCTGCATAAGAGCCCTCCATATATGTGTTCCCTGTGCCCCACAGCTTCTCACTACCCATCCTCCCATCCATGCCCTTCCTGCTTTCACAGCCCCTGACTACCCACCCTCCCATCCATGCTCTGCCTGCTCCCACTGCCCCTGACTCTTTACCCTCTCCTTCATGCACTCCCTGCTCTCACAGCTTCTGACTACACACCCTCACATCCATGCACTTTCTGCTCCCACAGCCCCTGACTACCCACCCTCCTATCCAGGCACTTTCTGCTCCCACAGCCCCTGACTACCCACCATATTATCCATGCAGTCCCTGCTCCCAGAGCCCCTGATTACACATTCTCAGAGCAGTATGAGAGCTGCCCATCCATGCAATGTGTGCTTCCACAGCCCCTGACTACCCACCTTTCCATGCATGGATTTCCTGTGCCTCTAGCCCCTGACTACCACCCTCAGAGCAGCATGAGAGCCCTGCATCCAAGTGCCCCCTGTGTTCCACATTCCCTGACTAACCACCCTCCCATCCATGTACTCCCTGTTCAGGTCATAGAGAGTCAGAAAGCTATTATTAGTTAATAGGAAAACAAGAAATCCTGATACATTATAGTCATCAGTTGTCATGCGAATTAACAAAATACATAAAAAATAAAGTCTTTAAGCTGTATAGGACTATTTAAATAAATATGACATGCAACATTTATCATAATAAAAAGCACATGGTTAAGAAGTAAATATTTCAGTGAAATAAAAATCCTGGGTATTTGGAGCTTAATTTTCTGTGTTATTGTTTTTAAGTAAAGCAAATTGTTTTGAAACAAAATATATTTAGAAAGAAGTATTTTTTACAATTCATAAAATTAAATTGATTTTACAATTCATTACATAAAAATGAATTCTAAAACAGCTAACCTTATCTTACATTGTTTCTTTTTACAAACTGGAAAAGACAATCAATATTTGATTTTGTTTTTAAGACTGCATAAAAGGTATTGAAACAATAGTATTCCATGGAAGGACAGTTTAAGAATGGCAAAAACAAAAGTTGCAAAATTGAAATTAGGTAATTCTATTTTTATTTTTTGAGGAATTGGCATACCATGTTTTACAGTAGTTATACAATTTTGCATTCCCACCTACGGTCCAAAAGGGTTCCAGTTTGCCCATAATCGTGCTAGGATTGTTATTTTCTGCTTTTTAAAAAACATAGTATCTATCTTAATGGGTGTGATGGTATCTCATTATGGTTTTGATTTGCACTTCCCTAATGATTAGTGATATTGAGCATATTTTCCTGTGTTTATGGGCCACAAAGGTTGGGAAGTTGTTTAGTAAGTATTCTTTCATGAGAAGTTATTCTTTACTGAGCACAGCATTTCACTTTTGCAAGATGAAAATGTTTCTCGGGATAGATGGTGGTGAAGGTGGTACAATAGGAATGTGTAAGGCCGGTTGCCTTGCCGGGAGTCAAACTGACACATTCATCACTCTCCGCACCTGATACCTGCATCATCACCGGAGCTCATTATTTGGCTTCCCCACATAGCTTCCCCGCACCCGCCTCTGCATACCGTGCCCAAGCCCACACTCAGCACTAAATCATGCATCCAACCTCCAGCCCGCTGTTAAAAAGCCCTGCAGAGAAATTTTTTAAAGAAGCCCCGACCGTACCCTGCCCAGCAACAGCCTGTCCTGTACGCCCCTGGCAGGCCCACTTACCCAAGGTCCCGCCCACCCAATGGCAGCTAGTTTCATGTACTTCCTACTTTAACTCCATGTACTTCCTGCTCCTCAACAGCCAATAGAAATGCCTTCTCTTTGTTTCCCCAGTAGCCAATCAATTGGCTGCCCTCCCCATAGAACCCCACACCCTGAACAGCCGGGCATGATTTCTCTGGCCTCCCCTTGGACCACTGAAGCTCGCCCAGGAGCTGAGTAAATTAGCTTCTCACTTGCTTATACTTGCCTCAGTTTCCTCATTTTACCTCAGCAATAAATCTTACAGAATGTACTTAGTACCACTGAACTGTATACTTCAAAACGGTTAGAATGTGTATTTTACTACAATGATGTATTTTTATAAGACAAATAAAGAAACTGTGACAAAATTAAAGTTAGCAACCTGAATATTAACTATAAAATGAAAATTCTTTCCATGTTAACTCTATTGTTTTCGTGTATGAACTTCATATTAATGGGAAAAAGAAATAAAGATTAATTTTTAATTTTGTCCCCCTAGGCCGGAGGATTTTCTAAGAAACAAGTGTACAAAATTGAATAAATAAATGGATTTTGATCATTTTTACATAGTCATTTCATAGTTATAATTTTGTTTTTCTGGTAAATTATAAATCAACGCTAAAGTACAATAACATACATATGTATTTTATGTTTAGCTTTTTATTTGGACTCCTTAGAGAGTTTTCTAAGAACCAAACTTATCTATAATATAAATAATGTAACATCTATAACGTAATCAAATTTATCTATAATTTTTTATTTTTAGCAATTATAAAGTAGAAATTCAGTAGTAAATATGATTTAAAATAGTTAATTGGCTCCTTCTATACATATTGTAAATTTCTATTTGTTCTGTTTTTCCTCACTATAGCAATTCATCCATTGTACCAGAAAGCTGTGACATGGGATATTGCAAAGAAGTTCTACAGCAAACAACCTAGAGGAACAAATGTGCTTTATAACCTTGTGTTACCCCGGAATAAATTGTAAATGTCAAACTTTTGGAAAATAAAGCCCTCATATGCAGAAGCCCAGACTCCCATGTGCCTCCTCCCGTGCAGCCGGCTGTGGGTGGGAGCCCCCGACTCCACAGAACTGCGCCGCGCCCTCCAGACCCCACCGTTCTTGAGCTCCACTTGGCCTCCCCTGTCCTGCCCACAAGCAGCCTCCGTTCCACGCTCAGCAGCCATCATTGTGGCTACGCCGCTGGCCACGCAGTGCTCTCTTGCTGATCCTCTCAGGCCTGGGCCGGCTGACCTCCGCAGGTCGTTGCAAGTGAAAAATTTTCCTCTGTAAGAGGACTGCATTTCAGTTTCCAGCGAGGAGGCATGTGTCACCCTCCCTGTTCCAGTAGCTCAGGCCAAGCTGGGGAGAAGAAACAGAGCCTGTCGCTCCAGAGCCTCAGAGCCTCAAGGCCAGGTAGGCATCATCCTCCTTGGTCTTGAACCTCAGGCCAGGCTGGGGTGGGGTGTGGTCAGAGCCTGCCCAGTTTCAGGGCCACCGTGCCACCAGAATCTGGTTGGATCTGCTAGTTGGAGAGCTCAGCCCAGAACTCAGACAGCTGTTCCTCACTTACTTGACTCTGCACAAGAGGGTGCATTTCCTGGGGAGGTGGGGGAAAAAGGAGGTTCGATGGGGTCTGACACCTACAGCCCATACTTCCTTTCCCATTCCGGGTTGAGGCCAAGAAGATTCAGAGTGTGGGGGATGACTCTGGGTAATACTCCCTCTTCTAGTGGAGCCTCTTTCTAGAATTGGACAAAGTCTGGTTTTGGGGTGTGTGTGTGTGTGTGTATGTGTGTGTATTGGGGCTTGGAAGTATAGTGATTGATGTAAGATGAGCAGATCAGTGAAGAAAGGATGCTGTGATACACTGGGAATGCTCACGTTTTTCCTCACTGCAGATTCTGAAATACCATTCCTGCAAATTACAGGGCCACAGAATATTGAGAAAGACACCAATCATGGTGATGTATATATACACATTCACCTATAAAATTATGTTTGTGCTCATATTTACTTTGTTCTTACATTTTGTCTGAGTGAAAATCAATGGTTTATTTAACTTTTTCATTGTTCTTCAAGTACTATATGCATACTAGGGAAATAATTATCGAATATTTAAAAATACAGTTTCAAAAAGAAAATGAAAGCATACCAAATACCTAGCACACAAAAAGGCTAAACAGCCGACTTGAATTTGATTTTAACTAGCTTTATTGAGACATAATTAACATATCACACAATTCATCCATTTATTTATTTATTTAGAGATGGAGTCTTTGTCTCCCAGGCTGGAGAGCAATGGCACGATCTCGGCTGACTGCAACCTCTGTCTCCCAGGTTCAAGCAGTTCTCCTGTCTCAGCCTCTCGAATAGCTGGGACTACAGGTATGTGCCACCACGCCCAGCTAATTTTTTTTGTATTTTTAGACGGGGTTTCACCATGTTGGTAAGGTTGGTCTCCAGCTCCTGACCTCAGAGGATCTGTCCGCCTTGCCTCCTAACAATTCACCCATTTTAGTTATGTAACACAGTGGTTTTAGTAAGATCACAGAATTGTGCAAGCACTACCATAATCAATTTTTGAACATTTCACCTTTCAAAAAAAAAAAACTCCAGAAACGTTAGTAATCACTCTCCATTTTTTCTCCTACTTTCCCCCTAACTTCTCCTTTGTTTCACAGCCCCAGGCAGTCACTTATCTACCTTCTATCTCTATATATTTGTTTATTCTGAACCACAAAAGGTAAAAAAAGCATGAATAGATAATAGGGGATTACATTAAACTAAAAAGCTTTGATAAAACGAAACAATAGAGCGCAGAGACAACCTACATAATAAGAGGGAATATTTGCAAATTACACATCAGGTAAGGGGTTAATATCCAAAATTTATAGGTGACAACTCAATAACAAGAAACCGAATAATATTGTTTTGAAATGTGCAAAGGACCTGAATTGACATTTCTCAAAAAAAGACATCCAAATGGCCAATAGTTAATATGAAAACATGGTCAACGTCACTATTATCTGGGAAATGCCAATGAAAATCTCACACAATGTGATGTCACCTCACACCTGTAAAATGTATCCTTTGTTGACACAAACATTTATGCTAAGAGATTTTCCACAAAAATTCTTAGAACTAATTAGAAAGTTTAAAATTAATTAATACGATATGTATGATAATGGTTAGAAAGCTGCAGTGTGTTAAAGGAAGTGACATATCCAAGTCTCAATAACTGACTAGCTGTATTTCAGAATGATTCTAGCTTCTCTGCATCTTTAATTCCCTTAATAATAAAACAGGTAAAGTCATACCTAACTCATGAGTATGTTGTGAGACTTCAAGAGATATTTTATAAGGCATTTAGCCATGACACATCGAACTTGTTTTTTACCTATTTTGTTATTTTGAGTAAGGTACAGCAAGTTATGTTGTTGAAACTGTGTATATTGTGATGCCATTCCCTGATATCTAGAATGTAGACAGTAAAATACATGTCTTTATTCTCAAACAATAAGACAAAAAAGGAATATGGAATATTTCATTGGCTTGTTTCCTATACAGTTTGTATCAAATACAATTATAGGACACATCATGAAGTTCTATATATGAAAACCAATCCATGTAATAGAATGAAGGAAAAGAACCACGTGATCAGCCTAAGTGAAGCAGAATAAGCACTTGACAACATTCGGTGCACTTAATGATAAAAAGCCTCAGGAAGCTAGAAATGGGGGAAACTATCACAAAATAATTAAAGGTATATACAAAAAACCCACAGTGAATGTCATATGTAATGGTGGAACTTCCTAGAGACTTGTTGAATGACTTTGACCAAAATGCTGATATTGATATGAACAATGAAATCCAGGCTGATGTGGTTTCAGATGAAGATGAGGAACTCGTTGGGAACTGGAGAAAAGGTGACTCTGTGCTTTAGCAAAGAGACTGGTGGCTTTTTGCTCCTGCGCTAGAGATATGTGAAACTTTGAACTTGAGAAAGATGATTTGGGGTATCTGGTGGAAGAAATTTCTAAACATCAAAGCATTCAAGAGAAAGCAGAGCACAAAAGTTTGAAAAACTTACAGCCTGATGATGTGATAAAAAAGAAAAACCCATTTTCTCGGGAAATACTGAAGCCTGATGCACAAATTTGCATAAATAATAATAAGCTGAATGTTAATCATCAAGACAATGGGCAAAATGTATCCAGGGCATGTCAGAGACCTTCATGGCAGAGGTAGCTGGAGGGTTGTTGTAGTGTAGGTCAGAAAAGTAAATCTTATGTAAGGTGTCTTTGTTTTCTGTTGCTACAAAGGAATATGTGAGACTGGGTACTTCTCTCTCTCTTTTTTTTTTTATAAAAAGTTTATTCTGCTCACAATTCTGTTGGATGCAAGATTGAGCTTTGGTGAAATCCTCAGGCTGCTTCCACTCACTGTGGAAGATAAACGGGAGCAGCCGTGTGCAGAGATCACGTGGTGAGAGAGGACTCAAGATGCAGGGGGAGGTGTCAGGCTCTTATTAACATCCAGTTCTTAAAGGAACTAACAGAGAGAGAACTCATTCATTACCATGAGGATGCACCATGTAATTCATGAGAGATCTGCCTCCATGACCCGAACACCTCCCATTAGGACCCAATTCTAATACTGGAAATCAAATTTCGACATTATATTTTGGGTGAACAAACATCCAAACTATATAGTATAAGATCTAAAGATCAATCAATAAATTTACACTTTAAAAGATGAATTTTTTTTGCAAATAGATTATAGATAGGCAAGGGGGAAAGTGGATAAAACAAGTATGGGGCTGTAACAAGTCAAGGAGAGAAAAAGCAATGGTTCAAACTAGGAATGGTAAGCGTAGTCAAAGTTTAAATATTTTTGAAAGTAAACCAATAGAGATAATTGACAAATTGAATGGCTATTGTGACAGCATTACTTTATAATCCCACAATTTCACTTCTAGGTAAATATCCAAGAGAAATAGAAACATATGTCCATGAAAAACTGGTACATTAGAATTCATAGCAGCATTATCCATAATAGAGAAAAAGTGGAAAAAGTCCAAATGTCTGTCAACTGATATATAACAAATAAAAATATAATAATGAATAAATACATTTTATTTATTTATTTATTTACAAAATGTGGTGTAGCAATGAAATGTTGTATTATTGGCCAGGTGCAGCGGCTCTCACATGTGTAATCATAGCACTTTGGGAGGCTGAGGTGGGTGGATCAACTGAGATCAGGAGTTTGAAACCAGCTTGGTCAACATGGTGAAACCTCATCTCTACTAAAAATATGAAAATTAGCCAGCTGTGGTGGTGGGTGCTTGTAATCGCAGCTACTTGGAAGGCTGAGAGAGGAGAATTACTTGAAGCTGAGAGGCAGAGGTGACAGTGAGCTGAGATCATGCCACTGCACTCCAGCCAAAGGAAAAAAATAAGACTGTCTCAGAAAAAAAAAAGTTACATTGTTGTTGCATTTTGACACCGTAACAGCAGATTTCAGGATTTGTGACAGAAGTCATGTGACTTATAATGCCGAAAACATTTATTATCTGGCTCTTTACAGAAAAAAGTATATGCTAACTACTGGACTAAATACAAGTCGTGAGGTAGACATTGTCTGATTGAATTAGAAAGCAAGGTCCATCTGTATGCCTCTACAAGAAACCTCTTTTAAATATAAAGATTTAGATAGGTCAAAGGTAAAAAGACAAATGTATCAGGCAAACACTAATTAAAGTCCAGGTACTTAGAGTAATTTCAGATATTCCAACAGACAGTTTTCAGAGAAAAGGGGGGACATTACCAATTATAAGGGGAAAATTCTCCAAGAAGATAACAATGCTAAATGTGTATGCATGACAATAAAACAAGAAAACTGATGGATCTGAACAGAGAAACAGACATGTCCTCAATTATAGTTGTAGATTTCATTAGTCCTCTTTCAATATCTGTAAGAAATGCTGGGAAGAAAATCAGTAAAGATATAGAGGATGTGAAGAAAACTGTCAAGCAACTTGACCTAATTGGCATTCAGGCACCCAACATCCAGATACACCATCTTCTCAAGTGTACATGGACCGTTAACCAAGATAGATCATATTTTGGACCATAAAATAAATAATTACTATTTTGGATTTGTTGTTGTTGCTTTAACTGCACAGTAAAAAAGTTTCAGAACAATGATCACATGTAATTTATAATTAAAACTACCTAACCAGTGGTGAGAAAGTCAGTTGCGGATTATACAGGGAGAGTAGACTTATTTTACAAATAAACTGAGAGAACTCTATTCTTATATCTGTAGTTGCCTGAATGTTTGGCTTTGACTCTTGGCTTAGCTAAGAGAAGAAATAATTTGCTGTTTAAGGTATAATTTCTTTCTGTGAAAACCTCCAGGACCAATTGACTCACCTGGAAAACCTGATTATACAACCCGGATTTTCCTTCTATATATAAATGCATAAAGACTCCACTTTGAACTTCAGCCATGAGCTTTCCTAGAGACAGAATCTATTCCAGAAACTTTTGTCATTCCATGCAGAGTCTAAGCCATGAGTCTCTACATATAAAAATTAATAAGAACCCTGGGGACCTTGCACATGGATGCCTGTTGGATCCCAGGGGCTCACCAGCACTCTCTCTTGCTACACCAAATCCTTCCTCTTTGAATAGAAAATTTAGTGTTAATATGCTCTACTGAGACTTCGAGCCCCATCAAATGCCCAATCTTAAATATCTTTACATGGTCAGAATCTGTAAACTATGTCCTTATCTTGAAACATATGAGCCTGAGAGAGATTCCGATAAAGATTTCAATTTCAAGTGTATTGTAAATTTATAGTGTTCCTTGCTGAGGTGGTTATTAATCATATTGAATTATTCCATGATCTAGTGATGTTCAGCATAAAGGCCTATCTTATAACTAAGTTCTTAAGACTGTGAAAGATTGCTTAGTATCAAATAAATAGGTATGGAGGTAGATATAAATAGATTAGATAATAGATAGATAGATGGATAGGTAGATAGATTATAAATGACAAAAGTTTCTGAGAAAGGAAGTTTATTTCATATTCAGCTTTGCATCTAACCAAACAGTGCATTTAAAAAGAAAATTAGAATTAAAACTCTGACAACCATTTCCTTAATTAATGTTCTCTTATTGACCTTGTGGAATTCTTTATTGCCTAATGTTTGATACTGAGGAGGGCATGGACTATTCTAAAGGTTCTTATTTAGTATTGCTGCAAAAATTAGTTAAAGGGTAAACTTTAATCAATGTCCTTTTCTGTCCTCCTTTGAAAAGGGCGACACACCCCATTCACACAGAATACCCATACCAATTATATGTTCAGGTAAAAACAAAGAGAGCACGGTGCAGTCTTTAGATTCAAACTTTACTGTGTGTAATTTCACATTTCCACTATGGTATTTCCATTTCACTTACACACATCTTAGGTCCTCCTTGTCTGTCGAAGGGATTGTGGTACTTTGAGTCCCTGTGGCTAACAGTTCTGAGATAATTGGCATACCAACTCAGGCCACTTTACTCAAACTATTGATTCTATTGCAAGAAAAGGATAGTGCAACATATTCTGGCCTCCCTGTAGTTTTTTTCAGATTCTAGGGCTTTAAATAGGTTACTAAATTCAGCTCATTTTTTAAACTATTTTCTGTCCTAAATTACAATTCTCATGATTACAATTGAACTCCACTGGACTGGAGTAGATAGATTTCATATGTCGTTGGTCTCTGAGTTGGGGTTGGAGTTGGAGCAGGTCACTTACCTCTCAGATATTGATAAAATACTATCAGCTTCTTAGTAGAAACTTTCTTTTTTTAAAAACCACATATTTAAAAGTAATGAAACAATTTCAATAAGTTGGCCCTGTTATTATGTCTACTTTGCATTTTTCCTTTTTGCATTAAATCCACTGTTTTTCAATTGACATATAAAATTACATGTACTTATCATGTATAGCATAATGTTTGGAAACATATATACATTGTGGAGTGATTAAATGTAACTAACTGATAAATGCATTATCTCAAATAATTAACATTGTGATACACATAATATCTGCTGTGTTTTGTAATAATAAAATATGCTGTCATGAACTATAGTTAGCACGATAGATCTCTTGAGAATATTCCTCTTTGGGCCAACATTTCTCCATATTCCTTTTCTCTTCTAATCACTTCAGTTTCTGGTAACCACCATTCTACTCTCTCTACTTCTACAAAATCAACTTTTAATAGATCCCACATAAGTGAGACAATGTGATATTTGTCTTTCTGTGGCTTATTTTACTTAACATAATGGCCTCCCGGTTCATAAATGTAGCAAATGACATAATTTCCCTTTTTATGGCTGAATTATTGTGTGTGTGTGTATATATATATAACCAGTAGTGGGATTGCTGAGTCACACAGTTCTGATTTTTAATTTTTTGAGGAAGCTCCATACTGTTTCCTATAATGATTGTATTAATTTATATTCCCAGCAACAGTGTATAAGTGTTCTCTTTTTTCTGCATCCTCATCTGTGCTCACTATCTTTTATCTTTTTGATGACAGCCAATCTAACATTATAGCTCATTGTGGTTTTGATTTATGTTTTCTGGTGATTAGTGATGCTGAGCATTTTTTAATTTACCTGCTGGCAATTTGTATGCATTCTTTTGAGAAAGTCTATTCCTTTATTATGTCCATTTTTTAATCAGGCTATTTGCTTTCTTGCTGTTTGAGTTTGTTAATATTTTGAATATTAACCCCTTATCAGATGTATGGTTTGCAAATCTTTTATCTTTTTCTGTGAGCTGTTACTTTACTCTGAGTCTTGTTTGCTGTACAGAAGCTTTTTAGTATGGCACAATTCTATTTGCCTGTTTTTGCATTTGTTGTCTGTATTTTTGAGGTCATTTTTCAAAAAATCATTACTCAAATTTCCCCTATGTTTTTTCTACACTTTTACAATATCAGGTTTTATATTTAAGTCTTTAATTCATTTTAAGATAATGTATGTATATGGTGAGATATAAGGATCTAATTTCATTCTTCTGCATATAGGTAACCAGTTTTGTCAACATCATTTGTTGAGGAAACTTTTTCCTCATATGTATGCTTGGTGCCTTTGTCGGAAATCAGTTGGCTGTAAATGCATAGATTTATTTCTTGGCTCTCTACTCTGTTCCATTGGTCGATGTGTCTGCGCCAGTGCCGTGATGTTTGCCCATTTTGAAGTTAGGTAGTGTGATTTACTTATAAATTACCCAGCCTGGGGTTTTTCTTTACAGCAAAGCAAGAAAGGCCTAACACTATTGTTTAATTTCTTTTAATAGTAATTTATCATTTTGTATGTACAGATGTCATAGTTTTTCTAGAATGGTTATTTTCAAGAATTCAGTATGGTTAGTGTTAATGTAAATAATATTCTTTAAAATGTCCTAGTTTTTATATTTTGTATCTTATATACAAATGGGATACTTGTGTATTCAATTTATACCCAATGGATTTTTCAGATTCACTTGGTAATTCAAATATTTTATCTATAGATTATTTTGGATTTTCTGTGTTTATATTATAATAAGGTTTTCTTTGGATAAAGATTCCTTTTTAAAGTTTATATTTTTTGTAGCCATATTTACTGACTGGAATTTCCACAAAGATATATAAAAATGTTAATAGTGAATTCTCTTAACTTCTTCACAATATTAGGAGGAAAGACTAAATATTCAATATTAATTATTTTCATTATTCATGTTTTGTTGATCCCTTTCATCAAATTAAAAAACTTCAAGTCTATTTCTAGTACCTAAAAACACATGTGTCTTATGTGTGTATCTGCTTATAAATTAGGGAATCCAGTCAAATTTAATCAAATAGCTTGAGTATTTTAGATACCTTATATAAGTGGAATCATGCAATAGTTGCCTTTGTGTGACTGTCTTATTTCATTCAGCATAATGTCCTTAAATGTCATCCATTTTACTTCATGTGACAAGATTTCCTTCTTTTTTCAGGCTGACTAATCCTAGCCATGTTTTGTTATTAATTTTTGCTGACCTCATGAAAGGAATCAGCATGTGTAGGACTGAAGTTCTATCTTCCTAAGTGTTTACTTTTTGCAAAGAGGAAGCCATCAAAACCTAAATTTTCTTTATAAAACACATTTTAATTTTGATTACAGTTGCTTTAAACTACAGTTACATGTGGATATTTAAATTCTTCTTAGGTCAGTTTTGGAAAGTGTCTTTTTTTATAGGAATACTTCTATTTCATTTAAATGTTTTAATTTCTTACTATTACTAGTGACTATGAGTGTGTGCCTTTTCACTTCTGATATTGTTCATGTGTGTCTTCAAAATCGTTCTCTAGTATTAGCATATTTTAAAAGGTTTATTGGTTTCCTTAAAGAAATAACTTCAGCTTTGTTTATTCTTAATATTAGCATTTTCTTTAATTTTCATTAAATCTTTCAGTTTTCTATATTAGTTCTTTCATTCAATTAATTTAACAATAGTTATAGGTTCATTTTCAATTTTCCTTTAACATCTTCAAGTGGTCTCAGATTCCCACTGAGCAAGGCCTAGCTACGTCAGTCATTTTTTTCCTATAATACTTTCATAGTATACAATTCAAAGTATATTCAAATTTCCACTGAATGTTCTTCTTTGATCCATAAATTGTTTAGATCTTAAATTTGCTTTCGTTAGACAACATAATCTGAAGTATTTCAGTGATGAGAAATTGGTTAGACCTGTTATATGCCCAAGCATATAGAATATATCAGTAATTATTTCACATGGACTTAACATTTATATTTTGAAGTTGGGTATATCAAATAGATCATTTTTGCCAATCATATTGCTGAAATTCTTCAGTGTATTTGATGATTTTTCTCCTTTTTGTTCTATCAATATTTTCTTCTTACAGGTTGAAGTTATATTAAAAGTCATAAAATTTTAATTATTATCATTATAACTTCCTAACAGCTTGACCTTTTGCATTATAATACACTCTTCTTTTATCCTACTAATGCTGTTATACTTAAAAATTTGCTTCATTTTGTAGAACGTTCCTATGGTATATATTTATTTGTTCATCTTTACTTTGAATGTTTGTATATCTGAAAATGTCTTTTTTCAGCAGCATATGGGGAAAATGTCTCCGAATTTTAGGATCATTGTCTTTGATTGATTACGGATCATCACAATATAATATGACAACATATTGCATTTTAAAATATAACAGCAGCTTTTAATTATGGTACCACCTCATTACAATATTTTCTTATACCATGCCCCTGCTGACAGAATTAATGTCTACTGACCCACAGAAATAGTGTGAGAGAACTTAAAAAAACAGAAATTTGTAATGTAAAACTCATTATCATGCATTTCTGATTAGTAAATTATCTGTGAAATTATACATGTATGTGTATATATATATGTACACCATATTTTCTGGTCAAATTAAAATCACAATATGCAGGTTTGAGTCCCAGGAAATCAGGTAATGTACATTCTCTTTTCTTCCATTTTTTTGTGTGTTTATCCATCCCATGTAATTACTCTAGAAGACTGAATAAATGAAAAAAAGTCACCATTATCAGCAAGTAAGTTAAAATGATAGCTACTTCAACAAAGAGCATGCAAGTAAACTGATTGCAAAGTAGACATATATCATGCAATTTATTTTTAGCCAACGTTTTAAATACACAAATGCTAAAGAAGTAAAATTAACTAGGGAAAATAATTTAAAATATAACACTGCAAGAAATTTTTAAATGGGAAATTTCAATATCATTTATAACTTGATCATGTCTATTACAAATTCTGAAAAATATTATAATTCTCAAAAATATTATCTGCTGTTTTTATTATATACAGGTATATGACTGTCACTACTTAATATATATTTAGTTTAGTTATGTGTATCTAATATACTGCATTGTCTCTCTCTCTCTCTCTCTCACTCATCCTTAAAGTATTTGAAACTCACTCATGTCCTTTGCAGGGACATGGATAAAGCTGGAAGCCATCCTTTTCAGCAAACTAACACAGGAACAGAAAGCCAAACACCACAGGTTCTCACTCATAAGGAGGAGTTGAACAATGAGAACACATGGACACAGAGAGGGGAACATCACACACTGGGACCTGTCGGGGGATGAGGAGCAAGGTGAGGAAGAGCATTAGGATCAATACCTTATGCATGCAGGGCTTAAAACCTAGATGATGGGTTGATAGGTGCAACAAACCACCATGACACGTGTATACCTATGTAACAAAACTGCACATTCTGCACTTGTATCCCAGTAGTTAAAGTATAATAAAAAAAAAAAAAGGAAAGAAAGAAACTCACAGTGATATCATGGCATGTCTGTTGTCCAGCCTACCCTTTAGGTTCACTCTCACTTTCAAGTTGCCTGCATATTAAAAATTAAAACAATATTCAATTTTCTTCAAGATGGTTTTACAAACCTCTGTATTATTTGTTAGTCTTGAAACAGCTCTGAATTTTTACCTGAGATCAGGGTTCACCCCTTATTTGAGAATACCCTATCACTGAGAATATCTCTGCCCTGGTAATCAAGACTAATAATGCACATCTTTGCATCACTAAATATGAAAAAATGCAGCGATATATGTCTGTCTGAAAACAAACAGATCATTTTTGTATTCATAATATTATTGGTTAAATATCTTTAAATGTTTTTGCCATTCATTTTCAACCCATTACTTTCTATTCATATCACTAGCTATGCTTTTTCCCTAAAGATACTTGATATTAGTTTTTCCACAATAGTTATCCAATATGAGAAAACCACTTCAGGAAATTTAAGTATTTACTAATTAGTTTAGGTGCTGTACATTATTTCAGCAATTTCATATCAACTTTTGAAATATATTCTCTCTTCATTTACATTGTCTTATTAAGTACTTTAATGAAATTCAATTCATTTCAAGCAAAATGAAGGACACAGATATATAATTCTTAGGCAAAAATCCTTTTTTAGCAATTTTCTTGAAAAAAATAAACAGTTTTAATATTTACTTGTATCTTTATAGCAGATAGTTTTATTTTATTTTATTTTTGAGACGGAGTTTCACTCTAGTTACCCAGGCTGGAGTGCAATGGCGCGATCTCGGCTCACCGCGACCTCCGCCTCCTGGGTTCAGGCAATTCTCCTGCCTCAGCCTCCTGAGTAGCTGGGATTACAGGCACGCGCCACCATGCCCAGCTAATTTTTGTATTTTTAGTAGAGACGGGGTTTCACCATGTTGACCAAGATGGTCTCGATCTCTTGACCTCATGATCCACCTGTCTCGGCCTCCCAAAGTGCTGGGATTACAGGCTTGAGCCACCGCGCCCAGCCAGATGGTTTTATTTTTAATAAAAATTTTTTGTTTTATGTTTTCTGTAAACTAGACATGGCTATCATCTAGATAAGTTTTTTATTATGTATTAAGTTTTAGTATTTTTCTACTTCTAACTGCTTGTGTTTCAATTTATGTTACTACAAAAAAAAAAGCTAAATTGCTTTCCTGGGCTTTTTTAATTACCTTCCGTTAAAATAGCATAAAAATTCCTTAAGATATAGAAATATTACAAAGTTATTTAAGTATTATTAAGTTAAAAATCCGTATTTAACAATTAAGATCAAAAAAAATGAAAGAAGGTAAACTTTAAACTTTAATGGATCGCTAAACTTTATCTACTTTTGCCCCTAAAAAAGTCCAGATTCTTATAAGTTTAAAATTGCCAGCCTTCAAAAAACTCTGTTAATATATGTGTGCGCATGTATCATGATATATATTGTATATCGATATATCTATTATATCTATATGTCTATTATATAGATACATCATATACAGTATATACCCATCGTGTGTGTGTACATAAATATCATGTGTATATATATAGATACACCATGTATCTATATATATAGATACATCTTATAGATAGGTACCTATATATAGACATTGTATCTATTATATACATACATCGTATCTATATATATAATCTACACGATGTGTGTGTGTGTATATATATATATATATATAGATACATCTTATAGATAGGTACCTATATATAGACATTGTATCTATTATATACATACATCGTATCTATATATACAATCTACACGATGTGTGTGTGTGTATATATATATATATACAATTGTGTGTACACCAACAGATTTTTTGAAGGTTTGCAATTTTAATCTTATAAGAATCTCGACTTTTTTAGGGGCAAAATTAGATAAAGTTTAACTATCCATTAAAGTTTATCTTTAAAGTTTATCTACCTTTTTTCATTATTTGATCTTAATTGAATATGGATTTCTAATTTAATACTTAAATAACTATGTAATATTTCTGTATCTTAAGGAATTTTTATGCTACTTTAATGTAAGGTAACAGGAAAACCCAGGATAAAAATTCAGCTTTTTTAAAAAAATATACATCATATGTCATATGTATATTTATATATATACATTTACACACACATTGTGTATATATATATATTTATATATAAATATAAATACACACATATACCAACAGATTTTCTTGAAGGTCAGCAATTACATGTGTATATATGTATGTATATGTGTGTGTATATTTTACATATATATATATAATTTTTCTCTTTTTTGAGTCTCAGCCTCACTCTGTTGCCTGGGCTGAAGTGCAGTGGCACAATCTCGGCTCACTGCAGCCTCCACCTCCCAGGCTCAAGTGGTCCTCCCACCTTAGCCTCTTGAGTAGCTGGGACTATAGGTGCATGCCACCATGCCTGGCTAATTTTTGTATTTTTTTGTAGAGGCGGGGTTTCACCATGTTGCCCTAATCTTGAACTCCTGGCTTTAAGTGATTCACTTGCTTCAGCCTCAGAAACTGGTGGGACCTCAGTTTGAGCCACCACCCCCACCATTAGTTATTAATATAGGAGTTATTAAATTCCCATACAAAGACAATAATTAAATTTGAACTATTACTTATTCAAATTTATTAAATTCCCATACAAAGACAATAATTAAATTTGAACTATTACTTATTCTACCACAATGCTATTTATTGACTATGTTTATAAATTATACAAATAACAAATCTTAAATATGAAATCTATGTACTCATCGCTTGAATAGTCCTCAGTTCTCCGTTTTTTCCTTTGGAAATAAACTTTCCCCATTATAGCAATCAGTACACAGAAAACAATAAAGAAAGGAATGAGTAAGAATAATGGCCATCTCATTGGTTTGGAATGGTAAACGTTCTCAATGAAGCGCCTTTCTAGGAGGAAAAAAAATCAAATATTTGAAAGCAAGCACTGGAAATATGGCAAAGATATTTCTGTATTTTACTAAGTCTACCAGAATAAAACCTTTGAACAATTTAGTAATTTTATAATTAACATTTTTTATATAAAATAGATAACTTGAAAACATAAATGCCCAAAGTGACTCTTCTAACGCTTTTTAAAATGGATAGCTGTAGATCATAGGCTAATATTTTGTTGAGGATTTTTATATTCATATTCATGAAGAATATTGTTTTGTGATTTTCTTCTTTGTTGAGTTTCTTGTTTGAACGTGGCATCAGAATTATGTTTCCTCCTACCATGAGTTGACGGGAACTTCCCCATCACTGTTTTCTGAAAAGAGTATTGCTTTCTTTCAAGAATTTGGTTCCATTCACCTGTGAAACCATCTGTGCCTATCGTTTTTTGTTTGTTTGTTCATTTTTGTTGGTGGTAATTTAAAAAAATCATAAACCCACAGGTTAAGAAGAAGTGTGGTTTCTGACTTTTTGGTTGTGCCCTTTGGTTTATAATCTAAATAGTCCTTTTCACATCTGAGTACCTTTATCAGCCTGTTGCTTGCCTATATGACAAAGAGATTTATTAGTGTGGCCTTTGTTTAATGGATTGTGTTAGGTGATTGGGAACCAACGAACATATATGCTATCTTGATCAGTTTCAACCTGAGCTAATATAATTCTTTTGAATTTCTGATGTATCAAATAAAAACACACTCCATTAAACGAAGGCCACACTAATACATTTCTTTGTCATAAGCCTTTCTCTGTATTTGATCTTGTGAGGCTGTTATGAAATGACCAGTTTAAAATTCTTAGTAGCCTTATTGTTTGAAAGTTTTTATCATGCATTTACATAAAACACTTAGAAGGCCTTTGTATAGATGAAAGAGTCTCAGCTGGATGCAGTGGCTCACACCTGTAATCCCAACACTTTGGGAGGCCTAGGCAAGTGGATCATCACTAGGTCAGGAGTACAAGACCAACCTGGCCAAATGGTGAAACTCCATATCTACTAAAAACACAAAAAATCAGTCTGACGTGGTGAGGCACACCTGTAATCCCAGCTACTTGGGAGCTGGAGATTCACCTGGACCCAGGAGGTGGAGGTCGTGGTGAGTGGAGATGACATCATTGCACTCCAGCCTGGGTGACAGAGCAAGACTCCATCTCAAAACAAAAAAGTATCTAAGAGATATCAACTTAAGTTTTTCTGAGACTTTAACAAAGAGATTTACCATCAAAAGCCTTGCTTAATTTTGATCTCAGATAAAATTTGATTGCTTTAATCTCAAATTTGGAGCATTTGAGATTAAGCCAGTGCTTAATCTCATTTCACCATTCCTTACTTTAAGAAACTTGCTGAGAATAAAAATTAGTTTTACTTTCACCAATAAAATTCTTGCTTGAACCAATGTCCCAGAGTGTTCTAGTAGTTCCACAGTAGGCGTGACTTCAATTTTCCACATCACCAAAGGCGGCAGTGATGCCAAACAATTTACCACTTCATAATTTTCACTTTCTGCACCATGTTAACATGTTTTTAAACTGTCCTTGGATTGCTCACCAACTTCAACATGTTCTAAGACTTCAACAGTTTCCTGCCTTTCTATCTTCCATACACTATCCAATTTCAAAGCTAAGGCCACATTTTAGATTTCTGTTACATAAATACACAACATATTGATAGCTAAATGTTTTTATTATTTATCGCTGTATAAGAAATTACCTTAAAGCTTAGTTACTTAAAACATTCAATTTTGCTCATAATTTTGTTGGTCATGAATTTCAGGAGGGCTTATTAAATGGTTGTATTTTTGTTTCTGAGTGCAATCAAATTTCAGATATTGCTGATAATTTTCAAGAAGTGAATGAGAGAATGAGTTTTCCAGGAATGAGAATTACAAGCTAAGTATTCCAAAATACCTAGTTAGAGGCTGTAGGATGATCACGAGAGCCCTAGAATGTTAGTTCTGCATATTTTATTGGTCAATCATACCACTAAAACCAATCTGGCAAGGAGTGGTCCCCCTTGCTCACCAGCATGTGTGTGCATAAATAGGACCAAATAATTGCAGCCAACGGGAAGATAAGCTAATTGTTGCTGGTAAAATAGAAATAGCTTGAAAATACATTAATTAGAAAGTTTTAAACTCATCCATCTACTACTATATAACATGAAATATAATATTTCCAGATACTGGAATTAATGTAGAAAGTACTTATGACTCAAAATCAGAAAAAACGGCTCTGATTGTGTGTGAATTTAGGTTTCTATACCAAAGAAATCTCCTGGCCCTAAGCATTATTGGATATGCCAGTTAACTTCCAGCTTTCTCTAAAATTCATCTATCTAGCTTTTCCTGCTGTGATCAATATTACAGGGAACCACACTGCCCAAACTCCTTGACCTGCTGTCTTCCAGCCAGGTTTCATCACTGGGAATCGCTGAGTAAAATTTGGAGGATTCACAGAGTAAAAATAGCTCTGATATTACTCCACCTTCCTCTCCAGCATCGCCAACAGTGCCTGTATATTCTGTACGCCTCCAGCTCATGCTTAACAGTAACTCTCCCTGTGGTTTCAATCCTGCGATACATCCCTGCCTCGTTATGCAACATACTAAATCCCCAGATTCTGATTCCAGTAATACCACCTCTTTTTATTGTCCCTCCAGTCCCCAAAATTGGTAATCATTTTCTGGGTTTCCTCACCTGTCTCTGATTAGCTTTTCATCTATGCAATTAAGGGTTACCAGACGCCTCACACACCACATTCTTTCTGTTGGAAAGACTAAAGTGATTTCTGTCTCTATGCCTGGGCCCTGACTGATATGTTCATAACATATGCTACATATGTTGTCATATATTACTCTCTGGAGACAGAAGTAAAACATACACGTTCATATGCAATTTAATGTCCAAACATAGTCTAGATATAAATTGGTAGACAAAATATTATTCGTGTTACTAAATTAAATCAATTCAAATTATGTTTTAATTATATTTCCAATTTATTATTAATACTTACGAGGGAGATTGGTTGGTGCAGGTGGAAAATTGCCACTGTCAATACTCCCACCGGGCCAGAAATCTGATTGAGCGATGCAATCTGGAGGTAAATATGAAGGACCACAGTGACAGTGCTTTTTGTTATTGCATACCTAAAAGCAAGAGAAATATCGCCTTCTAAGATAAGCCTCTAGATGTGTATGTGTTCAAGTAAAATTATCAAATAATGTGTGTGTCAGATAAGGCCAGTTTTCCTTCGTGCAGGGTGTGTGTGTGTGTGTGTGTGTGTGTGTGTGTAGCAATGCATTTAGTTTCCTAAAATGAAGTTCAATGATTTCTATTTTTGCCTCAAAGTAGCGCTACTTACACCTTTATTGTTGCATTTTTGTTTAGTACAATCATAACCCAAGTATGAAGAACTCACACATCTTTGATTCCTGCAAACCTAAAAAGGATGAACAAAAATTAGTTATTCAACATGCCACCTAGATTTGCCATTTAATTAAGAGCATTCCATGCCATGCTAATAAAAAGGGCACTGATTAGCAGCAAGCATTGCTATACTAACAATGAATAATTCATGTATTGAGCTACTATGTTTCCAGCACTAGATGAGACTCTGATTATCTGCATGTAAACAGAGTAAACAAAGCAATAACAGCTTCTTCCCTGCTCAAACTGGGATAGCAGGTACAGATATGAAGGGAGGAAAACACAAATAAGTATGTAATGAATGCTGTAGTGAAAAAATTGATTTATGAAAGTATAAAATCCAGGAAATGTGTCTAATATTTGAGAATAGTAAAACCTTCTCATTGAGCCCCAATGATAGATGGGATTTAACTGGTATCGAAATAGAAGACAGAGTATTATAAAAGACAAATAATATTTAAAATGACTCTACCATGGAATACTGTATTGAACCTTTGAGAAACATAAAGGGCAGTGTGACCATTCAGTCATTCATTAAATAAATATTTGAGTCCTACAGATGTACGTGGTTCCAAGGGAATCATCAGTGAACGCAAATGTCATCTTGTTCATACCATAAAAAAGGAGAGAGAAACAAACAAAAAACTAGATATTATGTGAGAGAAGATACTATTGGCAAGATTGTGTAGAATCTTATATTCTTCATGAACAAGTTGGCCAAATACAGCAATTTGCAGTATTTACATGTTGGAAGAAGGAAAGCTGATAAAAGTAGGTTTTGGAAAAAAGAATGGAAATAGCAATAGCTGAGAGATACAAAGTTAGAATTCCATTTCTGTGGTCCACAAAAATGATAACCAAACGGTGAAACTGAGTGGTAATGGGATGGAAACCAGTAGATGTATTGTATTTGAGACAGAAATTTAAACCAGCTGAGTTGGAGCAATATACATAGTAGAAAGAGAGGAGTGAATGATACCAAGGATTCTGACTTGTTTAATTCTCTTGCTGGCGGGTAAATCAACTGAGAATAGGAAAGTTAAGCACAAAGACAAAGATTTGGTAATTATTTTCAGAGATCTCTTTCAATCTATATCAAATAATACTATGTTACAAAAGAACAAAAAATGTTTAATGCACTCACACAAACACTCAAAGCAACTAATGATAAGCCCAAGAACAAATAATTGGAAATATTTTTTATTTTAAACGTTTGCTAGAGAATATTGGCAATATTTTGGAATTTTTTCCTCTTATAATTTAGGAGTAAGGTCATATTACATTGTTGGTTTTGATTTGCATTTCGCTGTTAAGTAGTAATGTTGAACATTTTTAACGTATGTTTATTATCATTTTTATGTCTTCTTTTGAGAATTGTCTATTCACGTCATTAGCCATCCTTTTGATAGGGTTTTTTTTTCTTGCTGATTTGTTTGAGTTCCTGTTAGATTCTAGATATTGGTCCATTTTTGGATGCATAGTTCGCAAAGGTTTTCTCCCATTCTGTGGGTTGTCTGTTTACTCTGTCAATTATTTCTTTTGCCGTTCAGAAGTTTTTAGTTTAATTAAGCCCCTTCTGTTTATCTGTGTTTTGCTGCGTTTGCTTGTAGATTCTGGTCAGGAAGTCTTTGCCTAAGCCAGTGTTTAGAAGGGTTTTGCTGATGTTATCTCAGAAAATTTGTATGGTTTCAGGTGTTAGATTTTAGTCTTTATCCATCTCAAGTTAATTTTTGTATAAGGTGAGAGATGAGAATCCAGTTTCATTTTTCTATATGTGGCTTGACAATTATCCCAGCACCATTTGTTGAATACGGCGTCTTTTCCTCACTTTATATTTTTGTCTTCTTTGTCGAAAATCAGTTGGCTGTAAGTATTTGGCTTTATATCTGAGTTCTGTATTCTGTTCCATTGGTCTCTGCTATTTTTATGCCAGTGCCATGCTGGTTTTTTGTTTGTTTTCTAAAAATATACACTAGCTTCTACATTGAGTACACAACCATGCTGTTTTTCTTTAGTATAGTTTGAAGTGGGGTAGCATGATGCCTAGAGGTTTGTTCTTTTTGCTTAGTCTTGCTTTGGCTATGCGGGCTCTTTTTTTGGTTCCATATGAATTTTAGGATTGTTTTATCTAGTTCTGTGAAGAATGATAATTTAATTTGGATGGGAATTGCATTGAGTTTGTAGATTTCTCTTGGCTCTATGGTTATTTTCATAATACTGATCCTACCCATCCACGAACATGGGATATATTTCTGTTTTTTGTGCTGTCTGTATTTCTTTCAGCAGTGTTTTGTAGTTTTCCTTGTAGAGGTCTTTCACCTCCTTGGTTAGGTATACTTCAAAGTATTTTATTTTATTTTCCTTTCCTTTTTTTGCATCTATTATAAAAGGGTTTGATTTCTGAATTTGATTCTCAGCATGGTTGCTGTTGGCAATATAGCAGTTCTACTGATTTGTGTACATTGATTTTGTATGCTGAAACATGACTGAATTCATGTGTCAGTTCTGGGAGCTTTTTGGATGACTCTTTGACACTGTCAGGGTATGTAATCATGTCATCAGAGAACAGTGACACCTTGACTTCCTCCTTTCCAATTTGGTTGCCCTTTGTTGGTCAGGTGAGTCTCTTGAAGGCCGCAGACATTTGGTGGGCGAATTCTTATCAATTCTGCCATTCTGTATCTGTTAAGTGGAGCATTTAGGACATTCACATTCAATGTTAGTATTGAGATGTGAGGTACTATTCTGTTCATCATGCTATCTGTTGCCTGAATATCTTGTTGTTTTGTTGTGTGTGTGTGTGGTGTGTGTTTTATAGGTCCTGTGAAATTTATGCTTTAAGGAGGTACCATTTGGCATATTTCAAGACTTAGAGCTTCTTTTGGCAGTTCTTGTTGTGCTGGCTTGGTAGTGGTGAATTCTCTCAGCATTTCTTTGTGTGAGAAAGACCATATTTTTCCTTTACTTATGAAGCTTTTTCTATCTGGATTGTCATATATCAAGACTTAAACAGCTTCTTTTGGCAGTTATTGTAGTGTTTGTTGGCTTGGTAGTGATAAATTCTCTCAGTATTTCTTTGTCTGGGAAAGACCATATATTTCCTTTACTTGTGAAGCTTTGTTTAGCTGGATATAAAATTCTTGGCTGATAATTGTTTTGTTTAAGAAAGCTAAAGACAGGACTCCAATCCCTTCCAGCTTGAAGTGTTTCTGCTGAGAACTTTGCTGTTGATCTGAAAAGTTTTTCTTTATAAAGAAAATGTAATATGATACTTTTGTCTCACAGTTCTTAAGATTCTATTTTTTATCTTGCCTTAACATAACCTGATGACTGTATGCCTAGGTGATGACCTTTTTGTGATAAATTTCTCAGGTGTTCTTTAACCTTCTTGCATTAAGATGTCTCGATTTCTATCAAGGCCAGGGAAGATTTCTTCTGTTATTCCCTCAAATATGTTTTCCAAACCTTTAGATTTCTCTTCTTCGATGGGAACATTACTTATCCTTAGGTTTGGTTGATTAACATAATCACAAACTTCTTGGAGGCTTTAAAAAATTTTTTTTCCTTGTCTTTGTCAGATTAGGTTACATTGAAAGCCTTGTCTTTCAGCTCTGAAGTTCTTCTACTTGTTCGATTTTACTGTTGAAACTTCCTGGAGTATTTTGCATTACTTTAAGTGTGTCTTTTATTTCCAGAAATGGGGATTGTTTTTCATTTGTGTTGTTTATTTCTCTGGGGATTTTTTCATTTATATTCTATATCATTTTATAAATTTATTTAAGTTGGTATGTGCCTTTCTCTGGTGTCTCCTTTACTAGCTTAATAATTGAACTTCTAAATTTCTTTTCTGACAATTCAGAGATTTCTTCTTGCTTTGGATTCATTTCTGATGAGCTAGTGTGATCTTTTGGGGGTGTTAAATAACCTTATTTTGTCACATTACCAGAATTGTTCTTCAGGTTCCTTCTCATTGGGTAGACTATGTCAAAGGAAAGATCTGGGAATCAAGGGCTACTGTTCAGACTCTTTTGTCCCACAGAATGCTCCTTTGATTGGTGCTCTTCCTCTTCCCCTAGGGGTGGGACTTTTTGAGAGCTTGACTGCAGTGACTTATTTTTCTTTTGTGTCTTGCCACCCAGTGGAGCTACTAGGCCCTGGGCTGTTACTGAATGTGTCTACAAAAAGTCCTGTGATGTGATCCATCTTCAGCTCTCTCAGCCATGGATACCAGCATGTTCTCTGGTGGAGGCAGCAGGGGAGTGAAGCAGACTCTGAGGGATCTGGGTTGTAACTGTGTTTATTGTGCTGGTTTTCTCAAATGCTGGTTGTGCTGGCAATAAAGTTGTCACGCGGACAGACTCAGGACCTCTTGTTAGCCAGGATGTTACTTACAGGCGTTGGAATAACTGTTTTCTTCTTTCTTGGAATAGAGTTGCTCTTTTACAAGTTATTGCAAATATTTGAGTTGGTTGGCCTCCAGCCAGGAGGTGGTGCTTTCAAGAGAGCATCAGTAGTATAGGGAGAATACTAGCCTTCCTTAGGGTCATCTGGATAAGTATTCGGATTTCTTAGTTCATGGTGGGGCCATAGAGCTCCCAAGAGATTATGTATTTTACCATCAGGGCAGGTGGAGAAAGACCCTCAGGTGGGAACAGGGTTAGGTGTGTCAGAGCTCAGACTGTCCTTGGGTGGAGCTTTCTGTGGCCCTGTGAGGGATGGGCGTGTGATTCTCAGGCCAATGGAGTTATATTTCCTGGGGGATTATGGCTGCCTATGCTGCCTTGTACAAGTCACCAGGGAAGTGGGGGGAAGCCAGCAGTGAAGGGCCTCACTCAGCTTTCCACTCAGCCAGAAAAGCCAGTCCTCCCACTGGCTTTACCAAGTTTACATCCAGGCAGCGGTGTGCAGGGCTGAAATCTTTCCCCAGGCTATAAGCCTGGGCAATCAACGTGCAGCTAATTTGATCACTGTTTGCTAATAGATAACAATAGATGATATAGATGAAGGCAAAGTTTTGTGGTCACCACTTGGATAACACCTTCCCAAAATCTCTACCCTGCCGTGGAACAGAAACGTCTGTGACAATATTATGTATTGCATTTTTATGATAAACGGTAGCATGTTTTAAAGCTGCTGAAGTAGATGTCTACTTGATGGGACATCACCTTTGTCATGAACACTGTGGCAGGAGACTGCCCGTCATACATCCTTCATCCTGTTTACTGATTGTGGTGTGCACCCATTATTCCTTTAACTTCTCCCAATCATCCATTTTGAAATGTGGATATATCTGGAGTTCCAATCAACCATTTTGAAGGCCATATGAAAGAGGATCACAGTATAAGATCGATAGCTAAAAACCGGACTGAGTCTGGATCATTGATGCCATAATGGCACCCAGGAACTGCTCTGGATGGGCAACCTCCAAAATTACTTTGCACTATGGAAAAAAAATTAACTACCAACTATCTAAGCCACTCTTGCTGCTTCCTGTTTCCTGTGCAATTCCTACCTCACATAGCATATTTTAGGCTGTTTAGAAACAATGGAGAATTTAAAATTTAAGATAGTCTTGGGAATCAATTTGGTACAAAATTTTCAAAGTAAATTTAATGAAAGCAAATGTGTTACAAAATTTTTGAAGTTACTTGCATTTTGTGTGAGAATTTGGAATGCCAGTTTTTTCATTTGTAAATACTCTTACCTTCTAATTTTCTAAATGAATATTAGTAAAGTTAGGTTACAACAAAAGTACAATTTGTATGGCAAATACTTCAATTATCAAATAAATATATTTTAAATATGTACACATTCACAGTGACATGCAATTAAGATGTGAAAATACTAATAGGTTTTATTTATACTTGGTTACAACCAAAATATGGACATTTTTGGTTTACTCTTCATTCACAAAGAATATCTTCTGCTCCAAAGTCAAATATAGTTTTCTTTTCCCTGTTTTCTTCAATAAGGGATTTATTGTATTCTGTTACTTATTAAGCCAGAGAGGCTTTATAATTAAACATGAGATTAATTTGAGCTTGCACCTCCTTGTGTATATATATGTGTTTATATACAAGTATTTCATATTTTATTTAATTAAAAAATCTAGAAAGGCAAAAACTGTTGATATGTATGCATAGGTACCATATTGAATGCAAAATAGGAAAGATAGATATGTAGATAGATAAATACTCTACAACTTTATGTGTGTGTGTGTCTATAAAAAATTGATGGGAGATTCGTAAAAATGAAAAGAGTAATTCTATCTCAGATATGCAAATTGGATTGATTTTGCTTTATTCTGTGAATTTGATTATTATTTTCATCGGGCATATATTATTTTACAATAGGCATATATTATTTTAATGGCTATTTAAAAATAATTACATCAAAAGATAGTTTATGACATTAGATGTATTCTGTGTCATATGAGATAATTTAATAAAATACAGTGAATGAACAATGTGGTTTTCAATTCAGTAAATATACATAATTTCAATGAAAAAAGTACTAAATAACCAATGAAACAGTCATAGCAATGGCATATATGCATGAGTATAAGTATTATTTTTAAAGCTTTTTTCGATTTTCTGTATTGAATCTACACTTAAATTCTGAGAGAAAAATACGAATTATGTATCACTTAAGAACAGAGTCTACACCAGGTGCAATGGCTCACACCTGTAATCCCAACACTTTGGGAGGCTGAGGTGGGCAGAAAACCTGAGGCCAGGAGTTTGAGACTAGCCTGGCCAACATGGTGAAACCAGTCTCTACTAAAAATACAAAAATTAGCTGGGCATGGTGGAACCACCTGTTATGCTGGCTACTCAAGAGACTGAGGTAAGAGAATCACTTGAACCTGGAAGGCGGAGGTTTCCATGAGAAGAGACCATAGCACTGCACTCCCGCTGGGGCAACAGAGTGAGACTCCATCTCAACAAAGAGCAGAGTCTAAAATATTGGGAAATTATTTAGGAATGAAAAACTACCTACCTTATTTGAACCACAAGAAGTTCCATCTTTTATCCACATCTTTTGGCGGTCGGCATGATTACTGGAAAATTCCACAGCAACGCAGAGATGTCCACTTATGTTGGCATAAATAGTAGTGGCTCTTGGAATTTGTAGTAAAAATTTCCCTACATATTTACATATTAATTTTCCACACTGCAGATTTCTATAATTTATCCATAAATAAAAATCATTAATTTTAATTTAGAGAAATACAAGAATATTATTTATAAAACAGATAGATTTAAATAAAGTATTCAAGCTTTGCAAAGGATATATGCAATTCATTTTAAAACACCAAAATAAATAAAGGCCTTGCCTAAATTGTCAATCACAACTGAACATTTTAGTTATTATGAACTAAGGTTGGTGCAAAAATAATAGTGGGTTTTGCCACTCTTTCAATGGCAAAAACCATAATTACTTTTGGATCAACCTAATATTTCCTGGCCAGCCTGACAACTTTTTGTCATTTCTTCACTTTTCTTTGAAACTGAAACAAAATCAAACGCAAGCTAAACATGAATTTAACATCTGTTCACCTTTTGAGTGCTTTTAAATGAAAATTTCAAGGTCGCTCACATTAATTAACAAAAATAATCACCAATTAATACTGTAGTTTTATCACTATGTATGTCACATAAGGTACTATGTCCTATAGATTAATGTGAGCATTTGCCTACAGTACATGCTACAAACTGTAAGATTTTTATTTGGCCCATGCATCTTGTTTGGAATCTTAAATGCTACCACATGACCATTGCTACATCAGAAGGTTCAGGAAACCATGCAGGCAGAGAGACTAACCTTAGGACAACTATGTATGTTGAGATAGACAACAGATGTTGTCTAAATAGCCTCCTAATTATCAAAATCTCAGCAGTGATGAAAATATAGATGTCTTGGAGCAATTTTCTATGGCCTGAACTTTTCTCCCTTAGGCCAAAAGAAGAAAACGAAAATGGGCAAACCAGCCCCTGAAGTGGCCAGGTGTCTCAGGCAAGGGCTTGGAGTTGATAAAAGCTGTTCCGCACTCATAGTGCACACGTGTTAAATGTTAAGTAATTTCTTTTTCTTTTTTTTTTTTTTTTTTTTTGAGAGGGAGTTTCACTCTTGTTGCCCAGGCTGGAGTACAATGGCATGATCTTGACTCACTGCAACCTCCGCCTCCTGGGTTCAAGCGATTTTCCCATCTCAGCCCCCAGAATAGCTGGGATTACAGGCGCCCACCACCACACCTGGCTAATTTTTGTAGTTGTTAGTAGAGATGGGGGTTTCACCATCTTGGCCAGGCTGGTCCTGAACTCCTGACCTCAAGTGACCCATCCGTCTCAGCCTCCCAATGTGCTGGGATTACAGGGGTGAGCCACTGTGACTGGCCTAACAGTAAGTAATTTCATAGAACATCAACTTTAGGCAAAGCCATTCTGTGATCATGAAAGATTAAGAGAAAAAGTAAGTTCACTCCATAGATCATGTCTGAACACAGAGGAGAAACATAAACATTGTCCAAACCACAAATTTACTGTACATTCTCATGATTTGACTAATAGGTGTGACTTGCCTCATTAGCAATTCCAGCTTTGGCTTCACTTTAGCCTTCCCTCTTCATATATGAGATTTATTAAGATACACGGTCATGTGCATCTTACTACAATATGTCTCTTACTATATCTTACTACAATGTAGCTCTACTTAAAAACATCTAATTTAGAGCAAAGATCCAATTCCTGAAAGCTTTTTTAAAATCACTTAACACAAGTCCAAATCTCTAAACTGGCATGTTTCACAATTTCTTATAATGTGCATTTTTACCACTCAACATGTAGAAAATTCCCACTTGTTCTACTACAGCTGCCTTCGTGGTGGTCTTTGGCTGGAGGGCATTGTAGTAAGGTAGAACTGTAATCTGAAGACCACCTGCTTAATACTTGGAAGACGCTGGAATGTAACTAGAAAGGGAAGAACTATATAACTGAGCTTTAAGAATGGGAACTGCAGCACAAGATGTTCTGTAGATGGGCTTTGTTTAATAATTTATGAAAGCACATCCAAGATTGAAGATTCTTAGCTAGAACAATCCAAGGACAGAATTAAAATATGAGCCTAATATCAATTAGATGATTGGAAACGTAGACTGAGAACTAAAATCTGAATATAAATTTCAGATTTATACTCAGCCTAAAACCTGGATGACTGCTGAACTAATCTCTTCCATTCCAAAATTCTAGCCTTCAGAAAAGCAAAAGTGAATGCAATTTCTATTATGTATTAGTCATATTATATATATAAAGTTTAAAAATATGCTAAGCATACAAAGAAAAAGTAAAATATAACAAACAGAGAGGGTAAATAAATCACTGGATACTAACACCAATACTATCCAGACATTGCATTCAGCAGAGAAGCCCTTTAACACAGGTAACATAAAAGGCATCAAAGATGAAAGGAAAATAGAGTTATACTAGCTAGAAGCTTTCCTTTAGTCAGTATATGCTTTAGCAATTATAAAGCAAATGTCTGTGCATGTGGAACTTGAGTATATGAGAAAGCAACTTGTATTTCTAAGATGTACTTTATGACACTTAATTGGAATTAGAATTATCACTAAGTTGTCTTAAATGCAGAGATTTAAATAAATGAATATGTGATACATGTATGTGTATATATGAAATGCATGTCCTAGCGCCGTTGACTGATAGGCCTGAGAGGTAATGAGAAACAGCAGACGGGCACACAGCTTGTGCTTAAGTATTTATTTTCAAATACCATCTTCTAAGAAAAGGAACCGAGGCTCCTTGGATAAATAGCTGAATCCAGAGCAGAAGCAGAAGAAGTACCATGCAGCCTATGACATCTTTCCTTGTGCTAGAAAAAGTTGGAAGTTATTAAAAAGTCATACAGACTTTTGAAAAGGACACATTAACAAACTCAAAGGGATTCCCAATAGTCAAAATTAAGACAATTTGAGAAAGTATCAAAATAAATAATGATAGTAATGTATTCTATCCTATTGAATAAAATAATAATTACTGTGTCTGAACTGACATACATAAATATATAGATAAGTAAATAAAAATAGAGAGTGAATTCTTCTCCCTACATTTCTGACTAATAAAGGCAAAGTCAATTATACAATTAGAAAATCACCAATGGATTTTAAAACTAGTTAGTGAAAGTTTGAGGAGAAACAGAATATGCCCAGAGCCTCAGTATAACTCCTTCAAAATTACACAGTAAACACAAAAGGGAAAAAAAAATAATTTCACAGTTGAAAGACTTAAAGAATAATTACTTTATCAAAACATTTAACCTAAAATGTCTAATGCTGAAAAGAAAATGGCATGTACCTTGAAAAAAATCAAGGACACAACAATATCACTTCAGTGACAAACATGCCAAAATGCAATAACTTATATATAATCTTGAAAAATATCAAAGAAACCTAAATTGTGGGAAAATTCTACGAATTACTTAACCAGTATTATTAAAAAACAAACAAACAAACAAAACAAACAAAAAAATTAATAAAAAGTAACACAACTAAAAAGAAAAAAAATTTCAAACTAAACAACTCTAAAAAATACATTATGAGAGGCCAGTCCCAGTGGCTCACGCCTGTAATCCCAGTATTTGGGGAGGCCGAGGTGGGAGATTGAGATCAGCCTGGCCAACATGGCAAAACCCTGTCTCTACTAAAAATACAAAAAATTAGCCGGGCATGGTAGCAAGCGCCTGTAATCCCAGCTACTCGGGACACTGAGGCAGGAGAATGGCTTGAGTCCAGGAGGCTGAGGTTGCCGTGAGCCGAGATCGCTCCATTGCACTCCAGTCTGGGTGAACGGGAGCGAAGCTCACACACACACACACACACACACACACACACACTGAGTAAACACGAATATCTGACACTGGGCTTGTTCCTGAACAAGAAAAATAGCCTAGGCCGGGCGCGGTGGCTCACGCCTATAATCCCAGCACTTTGGGAGGCCGAGGCGGATGGATCACAAGGTCAAGAGATCGAGACCAGCCTGGTCAACAAGGTAAAAACTCCATCTCTACTAAAAATACAAAAATTTGCTGGGCATGGTGGTGCACGCCTATAGTCCCAGCTACTCGGGAGGCTGAGGCAGGAGAATTGCTTGAACCCAGGAAGCGGAGGTTGCCGTGGGCCGAGATCCTGCCATTGCACTCCAGCCTGGGTAACGAGCGAAACGCCGTCTCAAAAAAAAAAAAAAAAAGCCTAAAATTACTCTATTTAAACAATGAATGAAATTCTAATATGAGTCATGTTTGATAGCTATAATAACTTATGTAAGAAAACATCTTCATTTTCAAGATAAATTGAGGATTTATTGAGGAATAAATACACTGATTTATTAAGGAATAAACAAGCACAGTCTTCAATTTTCACTCAAAAAGTTCAGAAAAAATAATTATGAAGAGAGGAGAGAAGAGTTAGAATAATAGAAGGTCAAGCAATGAGGAAAGAAACAATCTGCACACCTAAGCAAAGGGTGTAAGGGAATTCCTTGTACTATTCATGGAAGCGAGAACGTTTGTTACAGAAGTTTTTTTTTTGTTTTGTTTTGTTTTGGAGACGGAGTTTCGTGCTTGTTACCCAGGCTGGAGTGCAATGGCGCGATCTCGGCTCACCGCAACCTCTGCCTCCTGGGTTCAGGCAATTCTCCTGCCTCAGCCTCCTGAGTAGCTGGGATTACAGGCGTGCACCACCATGCCCAGCTAATTTTTTGTATATTTTTTTAATAGAGACGGGGTTTCACCATGTTGACCAGGATGGTCTCGATCTCTTGACCTTGTGATCCACCCACCTTGGCCTCCCAAAGTGCTGGGATTACAGGCTTGAGCCACCGCGCCCGGCCCTGTTACAGAAGTTTTACTTTACCTTTGAAATAAATCAACATAAAATTTTAGGAAATAGAAATGGGTTTCTGCAACATTCTAGTTCTAATGTATTTATTTTTTCAGTTTTGAGATGGAGTCTTGCTCTGTCGCCCAGGTTGGAGTTCAGTGATCCGATCTCAGCTCACTGCATCCTCAGCCTCCCCGGTTCAAGCAATTTTCCCACCTCAACCTCCCGAGTAGCTGGGATTACAGGCACCTGCCATAATGCCTGTGCCATCATGTCTGGCTAATTTTTGTATTTTTAGGATTTTCCCATGTTGCTAGCTTGTCTCTAACTCCTATCAGGGGATCCAGCCACCCAAAGTGCTGAAATTACAGGCCTGAGCCACCCTGGCCGGCCTTCTAGTTCTAATGTATTTAATAATAGTAACTGCTAATAGTTAACACTTTATAGTACATACTGTGTATCAGTTACCAGTCAAGTGTTTTTCATAGAGTGTCTATGTTTCCCATTGGCACCAAACCAGTGATGTGTTATTCATGTGCATATTTTGCATATAAAAAAACTGAAATACATGCCTAAGGTCACAAGAGTGGGGTTGGGATTTAAAACCAAAATGTCTGACTGTAGAGCACACGTTCTTAAATACCACACTTTGCTTCTTAAATAGTAAAAATTCATGTATTTTCACTTTACTACTAAGGGGATTGTCATCCATTGTGAAAAATAAAGTAACAGCGTGCATAATAAAAATAATTACTGATGGGTAATTAATGTACCTGTATGAAAATTAAACACTTTGTGGAAAAGCACAAATGATAATTTGGGTATAGGAGAGAATAAATACAGACTTCTTTGTCTATGATATTTATAATTTGAATAAACAGGGTCTTTATGTTCAGGGGATATTTTGCTTACACATAATCTTAATTATTTGATGTTATTTTCAAAATAAGATGATACGTAGAGGTTCTAAGATTAATTTCTGAAAACATACTCAGCTCCACACTGTGTGTATCTTGAATCAACTTCACCACAGTTTCCAGATACGTCAGTCTTTGAATTAAGGTGAGAATAACATTCTGCAGGACCAAACTCTACTTCTGAAAATAAAAAGGTGTGGTTATCATATTAAACACATAGTAATTAAAAATAAGTAACAAATACATTTAAAATTCTGAAATGGATTAAGATACTCATTGTACAAAGTAAGATCATAATATAACATTCAAAATAAAAATAGATTTAAGATCATACAAAACCACTTCAATGCAATGTTTAACAATTGAAAGGACTCCTGTCTACTATCCATAGACATATCCTAGACATACTCAGAGCTAACCATTGTGTTGCTTAACCTGTAGTTAAGTAATTTAAGTATTTTAATCTAATTAAAATGTATTTTAATTTAAGTAAGTTTTTATAATAAGTCAATATCTGTTAATATGTAGGAAACATTTTACACATAATTGACTTCTTTGTTGATAAACAGTTTTAGCATGAAGGTATTTTCAAGTCAAACCACTAACCAATTATCTTATGTTTTACATGATAATTTCCCCAGACCAGAGATATATTGGAGTCACAATTGATTCATTCACCCTCCCATCATTCAACCTATATGCATAATCTGCATCATTTTAATTCTCATAAGATTCAACCTACTTAAAAAGCAGTTTATTTCTGATAACCTCCATCTGCTCTGCTTGATGGACTTAGTCAAAAATCTTTGACAGGGAGACTTAACTACGGCATAAGAACGCAGCAGTACAAGGCTCGCTGCCAGGGTGGACAGACTCAGAGCCCAGCTACAACCCACAGATGCAGCAGTGAGCTGAAAAGTAACAGAGGTCATCTGCAAGCTCGTTATGGGTAAGCAGTCAACATTGTAACCTTGGCTAGGGTAGCAAGTCATTGCTGGTAGATGAAAAAATAGGCCAAAACAAAGAACTAAAGCCAAAATCTACAGCTCAAAGTGAACTTTAGTTATCCGGGAGAAACTGCTGAAAGGCGGTGTGATGATACGTTTTATGCATCAACTTGGTTAGACTATAGTACCAAGTTATTCAGTTAAACACTAATCTAGGCATTGTTCTGTAGGTATTTTGTAGGTGTGATGAAGTCTATAATAAGTTTATTTTAAGAAATATGATCTTAGATAACGTGAATGGGCCGGATTCAATTATTAATAGTTTAAAGACCTTGAAAGCAGGCTTCCTTGAAAAAGAAAAGAGACTCTGCCTGTTTACTTCAGCTTCAATTTATGCCCAAAATTTCTATTTTGCCCTTTTAATTGTCTTGCCCTATAGATTTCAGACTTGCCTAGCCAGCCCCACAATCTCATTTGCCAATTATTTGCATAGATGTACATTTCTTTCTTGAGATGGAGTCTCAGTCTGTCTCTCAGGCTGGAGTGCAGTGACGTGATCTCAGCTCACTGCAACCTCAGCCTCCTAAGTAGCTGAGATTACAGGGATGCACCACCACACTCGGATAATTTTTTGTATTTTTAGTAGAGACAGGGTTTCTCCAGGTCGGCCAGGCTGATGTTGAACGCCTGACCTCAGGTGATCTGCCTGCCTCGGCCTCACAAAGTGCAGGATTACACGCTTGAACCACCACGCCTGGCCATATTCTTCTCTTTCAAGAATTATTTAGAATATTTAAACTAAACATGACATTTTAAAAGTCGCAAACATTGTTGGGCATGTATCAGCGTCTATTTCTGTTAAGTTTCCAGAAAAAACACATATATAAGAAATAAAATGATAATAAATACCGTGGCCAAATAAGTCTGTACATTGTTTATCCCCATTCACACAAACTCCATTTATACAGATCCATTGATTCATTCCACAGGGATGCCCAGTCTGAACATAGTGGTTTTCTGGACATGACGCAGATGATCCATTGCAATATTCAGGGAGGTCACATTCGTCAAAGGCAGGCCTGCATACTCTTCCTTTTGACAAAAACTGTTGGGATGAAGTAAATGATATTGAATTAAGCAGAATGTGAATACATAAGCATAATAATGATAATTGCTTATGTAGGCAATATTGAAATTTTTCAAAAAGCTCTTACTAGACAATTTTTGCAGCAAGGTCCTTCAGCACAATTTAAACCGGCTTTCAATCTACATGTGACACTATCACAGCATGTCGCTCCGATAAGGGTACAATTCTGTAAGGCAAATCAAATGCTCTAAACTATTCTCCAACTTTTATTCACATTGGACAGACGTTTTCATGATGGCAACATCATATGTAACATACACATGATGATGCTGAATTTACATGTTGGCAAAGAGAGAAATAAATAAAAGCTCTTACTCATTTCATTTCTTAACAGACATTTATTAATTACCTACTCATTGCCAGACCGTGTGTTGTTCACATTGCTAGAATAGGTTTGGTTACACTGATAAAAGGATTCTCCGAAGCCCTGGGGTCCACCATAGTCAAGTCATTAAGAAGAGCTCTGCCTCTTCTAGGCAAAGAGATAGTTAAATACATGACATAAAATAAAAAGAAATTATAATTTAAAAATTCTATTGTAGTGACTATGTCTTACTAGAGCCTTCTGAATCTATAATATTTTAACACGTTTCTGCATCTTATGGCATATATTGTTGATTTGTGTCACTTTTAATTCTTTAATTAAGGGCTGGGAAGTGATGTTACTTGTCAGCATACTGAAGTTTTCACCTTTATATCATTCACTCATATCTTACTATGCCTTGTTTTATGCTTTAGTTCATCTATGCCCAGTGAATATGCTTTTCAAACTTCTATTACTAGGGTTGATAAAAGCAATAGATAAGAAGAAGGCTTAAAGACAATGCATTCATTCATACACACAGACACACACACACAGATTTTTTAAATGTGCAGAAATTTAAAATAGGGTAAATTGGAAAAAGAAATGTGATAAATCACACAAAAATAAATCGTGGATTTAGTAGTCTTCATATGAGTTATAGCAAGATACTTACTTGGACGCACAGAGTAGTCAGTATTTTTTGCAGCTGTTCTAAGAATTCTCACTGTTACTGCTATCTACTGTAATTCTAGAGGGGAAAGTTTTATCTGAATGGTTTAAGCCTCAATTATATAACATTTAGAGAGCTTAGATACACTACTGTCCAACTGAAGAAATTTTCAAGAATGTTTCCATTCAAACTCAGCCAAGCAGAAACAAGTGGGTGACAAGGAATAATTTTTTTAAAACATATCACATATATGACTGGGTGCGGTGGCTCACTCCTGTAATCTCAGCACTTTGGGTGGCTGAGGCGGGTGGATCACCTCAGGTTGGGGAGTTCAAGACCGGCCTGACCAACATGGAGAAACACCGTCTCTACTAAAAATTTAAAAATTAGCTGGGTGTGGTGGTTCCTGCCTATAATCCCAGCTACTTGGGAGGCTGAGGCAGGAGAATCGCTTGAACCCAGGAGGCGAAGGTCCTGGTATGCCAAGATTGAGCCATTGCACTCCAGCCTGGGAAACAAGAGTGAAACTGTCTGATATATAACACGCATCTTAGGATCTATAAACATACTTTTATGTTTGGCGGGGGGCGCTACGTGAGTGACCACAGTAGGGCACAATGAAGTCTACTTAGTTTTCTTGATTCTCTTCAGTCCAGTCTGTACCATTCACTGTGAGTCTCAATAGTTCCCTCATTTCATTCCCATTATCTCTGCTCTCTTCACCTCCCTTCAACCCAGGTGCTTTATCTAAGATTTCTATTGTTTGGGACAATTAGCTCTTCTTAATTATGTATGTTACAAATTGTTTGGACTCAAATATTGACCTGGATTAAAATTTTCAAAGACCACGAATGTGCTGTCCAGGTTTTCTTGCTCCTTAGTGAAAGCTTTATATCTCTCTTTATGAACAGCAAAGGAATTTAGGTTAAATACTAGGTTTAAATTTTAGGTTTAAATATTCAAGAGGAAGAGATTGAACCTACATCAACTCAGTTATGAAATTAGTGGCCTTGAAAATTACTATTTGAGAGAATAGAATGGTGCTTACCAGGGACCTCAAGGAGGGGAAAACAGGGAGATGATGGTCAAGGGGTGTAAAGTTTCATTTCTGCAAGATGAATACATTCTGAATATCAAATATGACTACAGTTCACAATATCATATCATGTACTTGAACTTTACTAAGAAGGTAGATTCTGAGTGTTCTCAGCAGAAAGGAAAATTTTTAAAAAGGAAAAGGAAGAAATAAAATGCTATGTGAGATTACAAATATGTTAGTTATCTAAATTTCAGTGGATATTTCAAAATGTACACATATGCTCAATCAAGCTGTATAATTCAAATATATACAGTTTAAAACTGTCATCTATACCTCAAAAAAGCTGGAATAAATAAAAGAAAATTACCTGTATATTCTCACAAATTCACGTAGATCTACAAAGCAAAGGACTACTATACCAATATATGTAAGTCCACTCATTAGTTGTTATAATACCTACATGTCCTCCTGAATCATTTGCAGAAAACTTAGCTTGATAAATTAAGAAAAATGGCAGTTTCACACTTGAATTAATAAATAATTTTTGCTGCAATTTTAGTGCATAACCTTCCAAATTAGTACCAACCTGTTCGGTCCCACAGTCACACTCCTCTCCTGCTTCCAGAATTGTGTTACCACACACAGGTTGCTGTTTGTAAAGAGGATCTAAGCGAGGTTGATTGTGAAGACACTGGGACTTCTGCTTTGAAATAAAATGTGCAAAGTCTTCGAAGCTGCAGTTACTAAAGGTCTTCACACCACTGAAATGACTAAAGACACATCAAACCTCAAATTTTAATGTAAGAGTTTCCATAAACTATCTACCCTTAGAATAAACCTATATAACAGCATCCACAACAGACCAAATTCCCAACTCTGTGTCAAAGCTTTCAATCTCTGATTATGGGAAGTCAACTGTGTAAGAATGTAAATATTTTAGTGGAAGAAAATTACTAATCCATAACATTTTATTGGCTCTCACTTGACACTGCTCTCTCTCATTTAAGCTCCTATTCTCCAAATTTAAGCTCCTCACTTCTTTTTCATTTGCCATCATTCTTCCTCGTAACTTCTAAGTGTTGGGACACCTCTATACTAATAAAGAAAACAGGCTTTTTCTTCTTTTTTAAAAAATTTATCTGTTTTTAAATTTCTCCTTTACTTATGAAACTTAGTTTGGCTGCATATGAAATCCTAGGTCGAAAGTTCTTTTCTTTAAGGATGTCGAATATTGGCCCCCCACTCTCTTCTGGCTTGTAGGGTTTCTGCTGAGAGATCTGCTGTGAGTCTGATGGGCTTCCCTTTGTGGGTAACCTGACCTTTTGCTCTGGCTGCCCTTAGCATTTTTTCCTTCATTTCAACCCTAGTGAATCTGATGATTCTGTGCCTTGGGGTTGCTGTTCTTGAGGGATATCTTTGTGGCTTTCTCTGTATTTCCTAGACTTCAATGTTGGCCTGCCTTGCTAGGGAACAAGGCTGGATGGAGAATAAGTCTGATGAATTAACAGAAACAGGCTTCAGAAAGTGGGTAATAACAAACTTTTCTGAACTAACAGAACTTGTTCTAACCCAATGCAAAGAAACTAAGAATGTTGAAAAAAGGTTTGATGAAATGATGATGAGAATAAATAGCTTAGAGAGGAACATAATTGATGGAGCTGAAAAATAATGTGAGAACTTTGCCAAGCATGCACATGTTTCAATAGCCAAATTGACCAAGCAGAATAAAGGATTTCAGAGGTCGAATATCAACTCATGAAATAAAACAAGAAGGCAAGATTAGAGAGAAAAGAGTAAAAAGAAATGAACAAAGCCTCCAAGAGATATGAGATTATGTGAAAAAACCTAATCTATGTTTGATAGGTGTACCTGAATGTGATGGCGAGAATGAATCCAAGCTGGAAAACACTCTTCAGGATATTATCCAGGAAAACTTCCCCAACCTAGCAAGGCAGGCCAATATTCAAGTGCAGGAAATACAGAGAACACCACAAAGATATTTCTCAAGAACAGCAACCCCCAGGCACAGAATCATCAGATTCACCAGGGTTGAAATAAAGGAGAAAATGCTAAGGGCAGCCAGAGTGAAAGGTCAGGTTACCCACAAAGGGAAGCCCATCAGACTCACAGCAGATCTCTCAGCAGAAACCCTACAAGCCAGAAGAGAGTGGGGGCCAATATTTAACATCCTTAAAGAAAAGAACTTTCAACCTAGGATTTCATATCCAGCCAAACTAAGTTTCATAAGCAAAGGAGAAATAAAATCTTTTAAAACAAGCAACTACTCAGAGATTTCATCACCACCAGGCCTGCTTTACAAGAGCTCCCGAAAGAAGCACTAAACGTAGAAAGGAGCAACCAGTACCAGCCACTCCAAAAATGTACCAAATGGTAAAGAACATTGACGCAGTGAAGAAACTTCATCAACTAACAGACAAAACAACCAGCTAGCATCAAAATGGCAGTATCAAATTCACACATAACAATATTAACCCTAAACGTAAATGGGCTAAATGCCCCAATCAAAAGACACAGACTGGCAAATTAGATAAAAAGACAAAACCCATCGGTATGCTGTATCCAGGAAACTCATCTCGCATGCAAGGATACACAAAGGCTCATAATAAAGGCATGGAGGAAGATTTACCAAGCAGATGGAGAGCAAAAAAAAAAGCAGGAGTTGCAATCCTAGTCTCTGAGAAAATAGACTTTCAACCAACAAAAATCGAAAGAGACAAAGAAGAACATTGCATAATGGTAAAAGGATCAATGCTACAAGAAGAGCTAAAGATCCTAAATATATACACACCCAAGACAGGAGCACCCAGATACATAAAGCAAGTTCTTAATGGCCTAGGAAATAAGAGAGGACACAAACAGATGGAGAAACATTCCATGCCCATGGTTAGGAAGAATCAGTTTTGTGAAAATGGTCATACTGCCCAAAGTAATTTATAGATTCAATGCTATCCCCATCAAGCTACCAATGACCCTCTTCACTGAACTGGAAAACAGCCCACATAGCCAAATCAATTCTAAGAAAAAAGAACAAAGTTGAAGGCATAACACTACCTGACTTCAAACTGCACAACAAGGCTACAGTAATCAAAACAGCATGGTACTGGTACCAAAACACAGATATACACCAACGGAACAGAACGGAGGCCTCGGAGGCAACACCAAACATCTACAACCATCTGATTGTTGACAAACCGGACAAAAACAAGCAATGGGGAAAGGATTCCTGTTTAATAAATGGTGTTGGGAAAACTGGCTAGCAATGTGCAGAAACCAGAAACTGGACCCCTTCCTGAAACCTTACACTGAAATTAACTCCAGATGGAGTAAAGACTTAAACATAAGACCTAATACCATAAAAACCCTAGAAGAAAATCTAGGCAAAACCATTCAGGACATAGGAGTAGGCAAGGACTTCATGACTAAAACGCCAAAAGCATTGGCAACAAAAGCCAAAATAGACAAGTTGGACCTAATTGAACTCCAGATTTTCTGCACAGCAAAAGAAGCAATCATTAGAGTGAACTGGCAACCAACAGAATGGGAAAAAATTTTTTGCAATCTACCCATCTGACGAAGGGCTAATATCCAGAACCTACAAAGAACTAAAACAGATATACAAGAAAAAAACAAGCCCATTCAAAAGTGGGCAAAGGATATGAACAGACACTTTACAAAAGAAGATATATATGAGGCCAAAAAACATATGAAAAAATGCTCATCATCACTGGTTATTAGAGAAATGCAAATCAAAACTACATTGTGATCATTTGAAAATCTGGAGACAACGGATGCTGGAGAGGATGTGGAGAAATAGGAACACTTTTACACTGTTGGTGGGTGTGTAAATTAGTTCAACCATTGTGGAAGACAGTTTGTAGATTCCTCAAGGACCTAGAAATAGAAATTCCATTTGACCCAGCAATCTCATTACTGGGTATATATCCAAAGGATTATAAATCGTTCTGTTATAAGGACACATGCACATCAATGTTCATTGCAGCATTGTTTACAATAGCAAAGACCTGGAACCAACCCAAATGACCATCGATGATAGACTTGACAGGGAAAATGTGGCATGTATACACCATGGAATACTACGCAGCCATAAAAAAATGATGCATTCCTGTACTTTATAGGGACATGGATGAACCTGGAAACCATCATTCTCAGCAAACTGACCCAAGAACAGAAAATCAAACACCACATGTTCTCACTCTTAGGCAGGTGTTGAACAATGAGAACACATGGACACAGGGAGGGAGCATCACACACTGGGTTCTATGGAGGGGGAACTGGGGAGGGGCAGCAGGAGGTGGGGAGTGTGGGGAGGGATAACACGAGGAGAGATGTCAGATATAGGTGATGGGTTGGAAGGCAGCAAACCACATTGCCATGTATGTACCTATGCAACAATCTTGCATGTTCTTCACATGTACCCCAAAAACTAAAATGGAATAATATATATATTTTTAATATATATATTAAATTATTATTATATATTTTAAATATATATTAAATTATTATTATATAATTATATATATAATATATATATTCTTTCATTTTTGGTTTTGGGGTACATGTGAAGAATAATGTTGGTATCAGCAAAAAAATAAAATCACTAGATCATTAAGGCCTGATTAGAATACTGCAAAAGACTTTCTCTCATGACAAAGAAAAAGCTCAATGGCAACATCTCTGAAATCTACAGACGCTGAGACTTCAGGCTGAGCCAAGGCAGGGTCAAGGAGAGTCATGCAGACAAGTTCATACTAATAAACACTCTCTGTGTAGTGATCTCATGCTTGCATTTGGCTTATCAAATCATGCATCAAATTATAAAATTATACAATAAACATATTGATAGATGTAATGTTAGATTACATGAGAGAAAGCCAGTGTAACAGTTGCTTACAAGTGATATTGAGATAAATATGCATCATGGGCATTAGAATATACATTTTGGTCCTGGAGTCCCTGGTCACCTCTGATAGTCAACCATTATTACTTAACAAATTAAACTTTCTTAAACGAAATACATTAAAATTACATTAAACTACATATGTAAAGTATAAAAGTCAGAAATCTTACATTGCTTCTGGATTCATAATACAGACACCTCCTGAGCACTGGCATTTGTGAATGTCATCGTAAGTGATCCCCATACTGAGGCTCAATAATTGTGCTAAAATAACTGCAAGTGATTCTAGACTTATGGTTCTGGGATGCTGAGAAAAAATAAATAAATGTACATTATTTTGTTTACTGGGAGAACAATGCAATTATTAAAGAGTCACATGATAAAATGGAATAGGCACTCTAATAGGCTATCCCCAGATGTGCCATCCATGTTGGCATAACTCATTATAAATACAAGAAAATTATGAAAAGTAAAATCTAAAGTTTTACCAATGTGTTAAATGGATGACCCATTTGATGGCCTCAGACAAAGAAAAAAAATTGCTCCAGGAATTTATTAACTCCATATAAAAACCATTGCAGTCTTATTTGTATTCACAAAAGATAATATTTAAAGAAAAACTCATGGAAAAACATAGTGTCAAATTATGAAGAGATTATTTTAATTTGTAATTTGGTCACTACTCAAGGTTGGGAAGAGTGGTCGAAAGTGGGGGATAAAGGGGAGATGGTTTAATGAGCACAATTAAATAGAATAAGGTCTAGGATTTCTAGGACAATAGTGTTACATTAGTTAACAACACTTACAGTATGTTAAAATAACTAAGAATGGAATTAGAATGTTCCTAACACAAAGAAATGATAAAGCCTTGAGGTGATGGATATTCCAATTATCCTAATTTAATCATTACACATTGTATGCCTGTACCAAAACATCACATCTCTCCAATAAATACATGTAACTATTGTGTACTCATAATTAAAAATTTTTTTAAATTGATTCCTTAAAGATCATATTTTATATAGCCATTCCATACATGTAATTCAAAAGGTAAACCATTGAATTAATTAATATTATGGTAATAATGACTGATAATAAGAATTCTGACTTTTCCATTGTTTGAATTTATTGGGAAAACTAAAATATCTTTGTAAGAGTAAGATGCTTACTATAGTGCATTTTATCATACTATGACATGAATTTTGAGAAAAATCCACAAATCCTTTAAATATATCTAATAACATTTTGATGAATATACTTCATGATAGGCTTCTAGGTATACATTTTAGTTTCTTCTGTTTGCTTCTCTAAGTCAATTTTCCATCATTTTCTACCATGCTGTCTAGCCCAGGAAGATGACACAAATGGATTATGTCAGTGGGATGCTTTGCCCTTGACTTTTACCTTGAGTTATTCTAATGGAGAGAAGAGAATGAGACATGAATGAAAGCGAAATATTTATTACCTTGTTGCAAGGGTGCTTACGTCTCTTTGAATCTTTGAAGGGAGGTCTACCTTCTCTCTGTGACTCTGATAAAATGACTCCCTTCCCTCTGTCAACACTTGGTACCAATTAAAGTTCTTTATTACTTTTGTGAAGGTACTGCAAAGCAGAGGCTCTACATTTTGCATGCACATGGATCAAAACTCCATTTGTCAAATTTCTGCACTTGAATGTACCATCCGCTTTCAGAGAGACAGTGTTAGAAAGAAGGAGGACGACATGGAGGAGGAGAAAAAGGAAAAGAAGGAAAAGAATCAGAAGAAGACAGGGAAAAAGAAGAAGGTGAAAGAATGATTCTACTGGGAATAAAATGAAGGATTCGGCCAAATTTAAAGTGGTTAAATACTGTATTAATACTGGTGCAGTTATTTTAAACCATCTTGTTTTCAAGATATTGTAGAAAGGGCTTATTAATCAAACAATAAATGCATCTTTACACTTTTCTCTTTTTCTCCTGTTTCCTGTTATGTGTTACAGTTCACTAAGATGGAAACAACAACATCCAATGATTTCACTTTAGGCATGTGTATAAAAGCAGGGTATATTCTTCCTTCCTGTGCAGTCGCTCTTGCATTCCCTATCTTTATATTATTGCATGTAATTTGATCTTTCCTTTCATTGTATTTCCTTTCAAAGACATTTTCAAATGTCTTTGATCATTATAGAATCAAAGCCATGGTTTTGCATTTGAGATGATATTTCCTTACACTTTCTTTGTGATCATCTCACTTTGGATTTCTCTTAATCAGTCTGGCCTGCCATAACAAAATACCAGAGAAGACTTGGTGGTTTAATCCAGAGAAATTTATTTTCTTGCAGTTCTGTGGAATTTCGCAGTTCTAGAAGTACAAGATCAGGGTGCTGGCAGGGTTTGTTGGCATATGCTGAGACCTTCATGGCTTGTAATAGGCTGCCTTCTTGCTGCCCTTTCCTCTGTGTGCACATGGAGAGCCTCATCTCTGGGGTCTCTTCCTCCTCTTATACGGACAGCAGTCCTATTGAATAAAAGCCCCTGCCTTATGACCTATTTAACCTTGATTACCTCTTTTCAGATCTCATCTAGGAATATAGTCACATTGGAGGTTAAAATGTCAACATACGAATTCAGGGGGAACACAGTTCAGTCCAGACTAGTATAAAAAATTTTAAAAGACGTGGAAGGCAGTGGAAGAATTTCCTACAGGTCATTGTTATTATTATCTCTGATTTGAAAACCAAGTGACAATAAAGCAAAACCATATTGAACACTGAATTAAAAAAATATATTTTGGGACAAAAAAATTCAACAAAGCATAAATTTTTTTGGTGAATATACCTGATTAGAACCATGGTTTTCAAATGGTAACAGCAACAAGCATGTTTTAGGCTTCTTACACGCCAATCACCAGACTGAGAAATTTGTAAACAGGTATGGATATGCTGAGACTTCTTTTGTTGCATGACATGGGAATAGTCCCTAAAAATGTGCCTGACATATAAGTTTTGAAAAAGAACACTCTTGTCTCTAATTTTAGATATCCACATTCTATTTATTCCTTTTTGTTCTTTCATGAACACATTATGTTTTATTCAACTCATTATTTACTCAAGGAACTGGTAAGATGTTCACACGAATTCAAAGAGTGTATTAGTCTCTTCTCATGCTGCTAATAAAGACATACCTAAGACTGGGTAATTTACAAAGAAAAAGAGGTTTATTAATTCATTAATTTTGAGTGTAACTGTATTTTTAATTTCTGTGGAGTGTACTACACTATATGGATATTATATAATATATTTATGCATTTCATGGATAAAATAACTCAATATTGTTAAGATACTAATCTCCCTGAAATTCATCTAAAGTTTCCATTAAAAAAACAATAAAAATCAAATAATTTTGTTGAAATTGACAAACTGTTTTTAAAATGGAAATGCAGAGGACCTGGAATATCTAAAAGAGTCTTGAATAATGGACTAGTAGGGTTTACAGTACCATTTTTGATGTTTCACTATCAAGCTGGGGTTATTATGACAACGTGATGTTGGGGGAAGGACATATAAAAACACCAATGGCCATAAAAGATTCCTGAAAGAGGATAGTAATATGGTGACTTGATCTCTGTAACAAAACCAGAACTGTATTTCTGTGGAGGAAAACTAACCTTTAAATAAGTTATTATGGAGCAATTACCTATCTAATGTGAACTAACTGATTCCGTTCCCTATTTTACACCAAACAAATTAATGTGAATTATATATTGAAAGGCAAAACAATCATGCCTGTGTTATAGAATAGCTTCATGATCTTGGAATGGGCAAACATTTCTTGAAGGTGTCTCTTGTTATATTAAGTTTTCTGAGAGTTTTTGATCTTTCTTTTTTTGTCATGAGTAGGTTCTAAATTTTATCAAATGTATCTTCCTGCATCTATTTTTAATAAAAATTATAATAGTTAATTTTCAAATATAAACCCATCTTGTAATCCTAGAATAATTTATATGTGTTCTCCATGCCATACTCATTTGATATATTACAGTATTCTTTTTGTTAACATATAGTTAACATAAATCTCAAAACATAAAACAAGGTGAGAATTAGTCCCTCCTTTTGCATTATCTAAAGTAACCTATTACAAGCATTAAATACTTTGGAGACATTATTATGGAGATCATGTGGGCCTAGATTTTTTGTTTGTTTTGGAGGAAAGTGTTTTAATTATAGACTCAACTACACCAATGGATCAATGGTGATTCAGATTTACTTTTCTATTTACTTGAGAAAATTTATTATTGACAAAATTTTATCCATATTTATTGTCATTAATTGGTTGAAGTTATGCCTTCTTATATGTGTAATATGTGTAGGACCTGTGGTCATCATGTCCCTTTTTTCAACTAATAATTTGGATAATTTATTTTTTCAGTTTCTTTGAAATAAGATATCCATTTTGGTAGGTTGCTCTATAGGAAGGAAGGAAGGAAGGAAGGAAGGAAGGAAGGAAGGAAGGAAGGAGGGAGGGAGGGAGGGAGGGAGGGAGGGAGGGAGGAAGGAAGGAAATCATTCTACCAAAAAACACCAGACACTTACATGATTGTCACAGCATTATTTACAGTAGCAAAGACACGGAATCAATCTAAGTGCTCATAAATGGTGGACTGGATAAAGAAAATGTGGTACATATAAACCATGGAATACTATGCAGCCATAAAAAAACATAACCTTTGCAGCAACATGGATTCAGCTAGAGGCTACTATGATAAGTGAATCAACGCAGGAACAGAAAATCAAATACTGCATGTTCTCACTTATAAGTGGGAGCTAAACATTGGGTCCACTTAGACATATAGATGGTAATCATAGAAACTAGGAACTACTGGGGGTTGGAGGAAGGGTTGAAATCTAACTAGTGGGTACAATGCTCAGTACCTGGGTGATATAATCAATCATATCCCAAACCTTAGCATCTCACAGTATACCCAGGTAACAAACTTGAATATTTATGTCCTAAATGTAAAATAAAAGTCGAAATTATTTTTTAAAATAAATAAGATTTTATTTTTATCTCCATTTGATTGATTTGTCTCTTTACAGCTTCACTTAGCTTTACTTCATTTGTTCATTGCCTCTCTGAAACTCCAGCAGATGTTGTACAGACACTCACACAACACAAAGGCAAGTTCTGTTTTTCAGAATAGTGATGGTATTATGAAATAACAGCAAAAAATATCAGTTTTGAATACATTAATGTTTTCTACTAAGATAATTAGTGTCAATTAGGACATTTGGTTCTATTATTCTTATATCCTATGAAGCCTTTTCAGGTGACTGATATTTATTTTAGTCTGGTTCATAATTATGTTAGCTACATAATTAAGAAAATGTACACAATTTAAGTTTTAGTCAAAATTAATTATTAAATATTAAGATTATGAAAACTCAAAGAGCACTTTACAGTAAGACCAAACTAGATCACTATCTTAACTTTCTAGAAAGAATATCTTGAACCCATAATAGGAAATTAAAAATTTGTATATATAGTGAATTCAATGAGCACTTCTTATAGTTTAAACATTTCTATCAGCAACAGTGACCAAGACTCTTACAAATTTTAATATACATACAAATAAGATATGAAAATGTTTAGCTGTATACTAATCTATACAGCATACTTTCTCTACATAACTGTACATACCAGAACAACACCTCCTGCATGGTCAGCATCACACATCTTCCCTTGAAGTGTTGCACCAACATAATTTGACTTTTCTCTGTAACTTAAGTTTAAAACGGATCATAATCACATAATTTTGTGAAATGAAGCACAATACTGAATTTTTATAAGACAAACGTTAAATTCATAATTATTAAAATTTTTATCCAACATTAGTGTAGCAGAGCCAAAGATGTGACTAAATCTTTCTGCTTCTTTTAAAAACAAGAAAATAGATTTTAAAAACAAATAATAAAAAGTGTTTTTCATATGAATTTCTGTAACGCAGTGATTTTTATGTAGATTTTACAAAACAAAACAGAAAAACTAAAGATAAAACAAAAAATGATAAAAATAAACACAATTCCTATGTGTACAAACTAGCTATATTCAATAACTCACTTGAATAAACTACACAATAAAAAATAAAAACAAATAAATAAAATTCCTTAAAAGTAAAGTTAAGGTAATGCAATGGTCAATGAGCAGAAACACTCTGTGGACTAAAGTTTCTCATTATTCAGACAAATTAGCCTTCCAAAGACAGGAAAAAAGAACGTCATATTTATAGGACAGAAGGTAAAAAAGCAAAATGTTTAAAACTCCCAGTATAATCTTTAAAATTCTCTCTGTCTATATACATATATATGTATATACACGCACATATAATATATATATACATATATATATATATCTTCAGAATGGTGATGAAAGAAAAACAGAGGCTATTAAATAGAAAGGAAGGTTTATGTACGAAAACCTTAAGCACAATGCAGATATATTAGAGGTATTAAAACACAGTGTTTCGCTTTCTCTTCTTGCTTTTTAATTTTATAACAACTAATAATAAGAGGAAAGCTGATTACTATATTTATAGAATTTAGACGTTTCTCCAAATAGATATTGTGAAAAATTTATGCAATGTGTGAGACATTTAATAATGTGGTATACAATCTAGGAAAGAAGTTATAAGATTGAGGAGTGAGTTTTAACTTAAACCAACAAATAAGTTGATATCAGTCATTCTGATGTAATTACCATGTTGTGAAAAATATTTACATGCTGTATGTCAGAAAAAAAAAAGAATTTTTTTCTACATGCTTATCAACTATCAGATACTGGGTCAAATTGGATTTTTTTTCAGATAAGCTGTATATAATGTCAAGATATGCTTACACAAGTAAGAATGCAACATCATGGGGACGTAAAACAAGATAAGATTTTTTCCATTTTAAAAATGTCTGTAATAACTCATTAGCATCTCCAGTGGTTGCAATTTTATTTTCATCTATCCAAAGCTCCAGTGAAGAGAGAATAATTGTAAGATTAAATGAAACAAAAATCTAAAATAGAAAACATACAAAAATATGTTCAAATGACACAGTTTTTAAAAATTGGATATTTATATTTGAAAACAAGTTTATGACAAACATTAAACAACTATACTGTACGTCTGCATTTGATTTTTTAAAGTATATTAAGTTTAAAATGTTACTACTAATAAAAGTAATACTTGAGATTTTATAATGCTTGCATTTAAGGAAGCCCCATACCCCATGCTTTATATAATTTAAGTTTTACAGTAACCAAATTAAGTGCATATAATTATTATTATCCCTACTTCAGATAAGTAAAATTTAAAATAAAACTTAATTTCCCCTATACCACACAACATGTGTATTCATGCAGTCTCATAAGGAGGTGTACAAATCGTTTCAATAATACGAGAAGTGCCAAAGTACTAAGCAGCAAACACTTACAGCATTCATCAATCCAATCACCTGGAAAACCTTGTGAGTGACAGCAGTTGTATCAGACCCCATATGATTATACTGTAAAATGGAATTATCTTTTAGATATAAATATTTTTGCTTAACATTTAATAGTTGTTATTATTTCATTAAAATTCAGTTTAGTGAAGTGAAAAATTGTTTAAACTATCAACATATTAATTAGTTTTCAGACATTCTTTTTATACAAACTATATATGTTCAGTATAAAAAATGAAAAATATAATTGAAATTTTATTTTTTCTATAGAAATCAAAAAATTTTTAAACATTATAAAAAATATAATTCAACTGTCAATAAAATAATTATAATAATTATCAAAAGAAAAGATTAGCTCCAAACTCTAGTATTTAAATGTGTTTATAGGCGACATAGTACATATTCAAACATACAAATCACCTAAATGTAAAGAAACTTAAAAGGTATGTCATGCAAATAGCAATAATAGGAGAGCTAGGATGTCTTTCAAGAAGATATAACAATTATAAACATGTATGCATCCAAAAATAGAGCCAGATAATTACACAAAGCAAAAAATAACAGAAACGAAGAGAGAAACAGAAAATTCAACAATTATATTTAAAGACTTATGTAAACAACTTTCAATAATAAAATACCTGGGCAAAAAATCAGCAGAGATATCGAAGACTGTAGCAAAACTATAAGGCAATAGATATCTATAGAACATTTCACTATAAAACAGCAAAATATGCATTAAGCGTCCATGTAACATGATCCAGAAATAGAGCATATAAAAATGAAAATGATTCAGGGTGTCCAAAACAATTTTAAATAAGAACAAAGTTGGAGAACCCCATATCTCAATTTTAAAACTAACTATAAACTACAGTAACCAAGACAATTTGTTAGTGGCATTTTATTAGATTTACCAATCACTGAAATTAAAATGAGTGTCCAGAAATTACATAAGTAAAATATTCCCAAAACTGCTAGAAATAAGGGAATGAATTCAAGTGCTTTTCATGTTCATTTGTGTGTGGATAACTTCAGTGAATGAAAAGTTAGCTAAAGTGTGCTGGTTTATTTAAAATAAACATATATTTGGAGTTGCCAGCATTTTCTACCTAAGTTTCCTAATAAAGTAAGTTCATGTTATCTCTATATTATGCAATTCATCAACAAGAATAATAATTAAGTGATGAATAGTTTCGTCTTGTGTTATACTTTGTCTACTAAAAAAAAATAGCTCCCCAGATATCTTTGGGAATTTACACTTTAAAGGTTTTGCTAGGTTAGGTAAAATAATACAAACCCTCTCATCCATGACGGATGGAAATGATATTTAGATGAGACTTTGGACTTTAAATGTTAGAGTTGGAGCTGTTAGGATGGAATGAACGTATTTTGTATGGAGAAGGACATAGATATGGGGAAGTCAGGGGTGGAGTGCCATGGAATAGATTATCTCTTTCCAAAATTTCATATTTTGAAGCCCTATTGTGACAACCCTTGGAAATGGTATCTGGATATCAAAAGGTCATAGGGTGGGTCCCTTATTATGAGATTAGTGCCCTTATGGGAAAAGATACTAGAGAGCTTGCTTTTTGGTGGCCATCTGCAGGCCAAGAAGAGAGCCCTCACCAGAATTTCACCATGCTCTACCCTGATCTTAGATTTCCAACATCCAGAATATAGTACACTGTATATACAAAGGAAACCTGAGAAAAACATTAGCAAGCTGAAGCCAGAAATATATAAAAATGGTTATGCATCATGATCAAGTGGGATTTTAAATTAATAAAAGACACTTAAATAATATAATGATTAAAAATTCTTATAGTCGTCTGAAGACATAGGATATATATTTCACAAAACCCAACACCTACTCATGATAAAAACAACAAAAACGACATGGCAGCTAATATTTTAATTTATTATCATATTAAATGGTGAGTCTATGGCTTTCCCACAAATGTTGAAAACTGCAAGTTATCTCTCAACTTATATTTAAACATTGTCCTGGGGGTTCTAGCAAAGGCGATATTGCAAGAAAATAAATACAAATACTTCACATTGGAAAGGCTAAAACAAAGTTAGGTTTTATTCCAAAATGAATGCAGAAAGTCCTAAGGAATACACACACACACACACACACACACACACACAGAGAGAGAGAGGATTACAAGTAATAAACCTATTTTGCAAAAATCACAAGATACAAGAACAATATACAAGATCAATTAAAATTTTGTACATTACCAATGAACAATCCAAAATGAAAATATGAGAAGTAATCATATCAGAAACAAGATTAGGAAATAGGAATAAATTTAACAAAATGCAAAAGACTCTTATAGTGAAAAACTACCAACCATTACTGAGAGAAATCAAAGAAGATCTAAATAATGGGGTGGACATATGATGATCACGATTAGAGTATTCAAAGTTGTTAAAATAAACATCCTTCCCAATTTGATCTAAGAACACAGTCTCTATCAAAATATAATCATCCCTTTTGCAGAAATGGATAAGCTGGTCTTAAATGGAAATTCATAGGACACCGAATTGCTAAATATTTTTAAAAATAAAGAAAAATTTCTATGACTTAGATTTCCTGATTTCAAAACTTTGTGTAAACCTAGGGTATTCAAGTGACTTAGTACTGATGCTGTGACAGGCATACTGAACACTGAAAATAGAATTCAGAATCCAGAGATTAACACTGAAATATTGATTGCCAATTTATTATGGATGAAGATGCAAGGCATTTCCTTGGGGAAATAACTTTTTAAAAATTGGTCTTGTTCTAATTCGTTTTACACATGCAAAAAGATTAATTTAGAATCATATTTCACATTATACACAATAATTAACTTAAATGGGACTTATGCCTTTATATTTGCAAATATTTTCTAATAAAGATATTTACAAATCTTTTCTGGTGAAAATTCTGTATATATAAGAAGGAAACTTACATTTTAATATTAAGAAGGCAAACAATAAGATTAAGAAATAGACAAAATATTTGAACAGACATTTCACGAAAGAACATAGATTGATGGTTAATACACATATGAAAAGATGCTCAGGATCATGATCATTAGAGATGTACAAATTAAAAACACAATATGATAGCAGTTGATGTCCACTAGAATGATTATAAACGAAAGGACAAAAACAAGTATTAGCAAAGATGTCAAGTGATTAAAACTCTCATATCTTGCTGTTGGTAACAAAATACGGTATAGCCACTTGCAAAGTATTTAGTTCCCCTTGTGTAAGTCCCACCACAGCAAAGGGCCTGTAAGACAATACAGCCCTTCTTTTAAATATGAAATGACTAGACATTTGAATAAAATGTTTAACATTAAATGTAGGTGCCGAAAACAAGGATATAATACCGAAAGCATCTATGTTGAGAAATGAAGTACTGAAATAAAGTTTTAATACTGTCTTCAGGGAGGCAAAGAAGATTTGAATGCATGAAACAAGAATAGAAAGCTCTGGAATGAATATAGGAAAACATTATGCAAAACTCCAAAACACATTAAGAAAACTTCATATATTTTTTAAAGTTGGAAACTTGCCTATAAAATAAAGGGAAAAAATGAAGAAAAAAAAGATAATATTTTAGGAGTTCTAAAATTTCAGATAGTTTTAATTTAATTTTGTGAGGAAATCTTGGAAGACATAACATTTTGAATAATTAAAAATAAACCTATTGATCACTTATTTTACGCGTTTAAAATATTTATCACTAAAATAGTTTATCAACACCTCTTATCCCCAATATAAACCATTATTTTCCTGTCTACCTTATTTCTTTTTAAATAATATCCAAACTGTCAAGCATTACTTTTAAAAATCAGTATAGTTCTAGAATACACACAAGTTGCTATAATAATTCTAAAAGTATTTGCAAACTATTATAGAGGTAGCAATTATTTTCTTTACATCGTTATTTATAAAACTGAACACTATATACAATTTGATTCTCAATTTACTACTGATACTAATAATTTAAAGTCCATTAAGGCAGAGCTAAGGCAAATTTATCATTTATTCTCTTCTGTTAAAAAGGTATTCTGAATTATTATTACAATACCTCATTGCAGATATTAAGTGACATAAATAAATTAGAATATACTTACCAATTGTTTTTCAACTACAACATGCATTTCTATATACTTTGCAAAATCTGGTTGTGGCTGAAAAAATCCACAAATTTTACATCAGAATTTTAGAATTACTTAAGTATTTTTAGTGCATATCACTACTATTAATGAACTAAATATTGAAAAACACAATTTTGCATATAGAAATAAAACCAGATAATATAAGCAATACTAGATATCACAAAACCTTTTTAATCTATTTTCTTTGTCATTTCTCTGCACCTAATCAATTACTTAATTTACTTGGGAAACAACTTTTCTATGTCTTTCATTCTCCATATTTTCTTTGGTACCAAGCTATTCATATTATTCTCTCTTTTTAAATAAATCCATCAATTCACCATTGCAAATGCATGTGGTTCTATTACCTTAGTGATGCTATTATTACATTTCTATGTGGTATGGTTTTAGATATGATCCCCAGAGAGTAAGGACATACCTCTGTGTTTAGAGAATGGGATTTCATCTAAAGGATAAGGCTAATCCTTATATAGATCATCTCAGGAAAAGGTAAGCAACAGAAAGTAAAAATGATGGACTTTCTTAAACTAGACCACAGATTCCTCAAGATGGGGATGCAGCGTATGATGTCAACCCCTTAGATCACAGTGGTTCAGTCAGAGGCAAATGCTCATAGAGTTTGAACTCCGGCTTAACGTTTCTATGACTTAGGTTTGGCTTAAAAATGAGGATAGTTATTGTTGTAATGATTATTATGAAAAATGTTATCTATTTTCATCCCTATTGTTACACAAAATAAACTTTTAGAAGAAATACACTAGAAAAGAAATTGTAAGATAGACTCTCCAAGCCCTTTGACACTATAATGTAGAAAATGCAGTATTTTATTGCTAAAAGACCAATGCCACCTAACATCAAACATCAGAAACTGGGGAAACTTGTATTATGTTTACTTTATCTGCAGTTTTTCTTTTTTTACATAGGTATTAATAACTTTTTGGAAGTTCAGAACAATTTCATTTTAGTTACAAATGCTTTCCTTAAGAAAACCAATAAAGAAGGAATACACAAATTCGGGGCTTGAGGAGAGATCAGAAGAGTGACGGTGACGGTAACTAAGGGGTTTTTTAAAAAGTTGAGAAACACCGGAAAGACAAATTTAGGGCTTTTCCTCACTAATTTTACCCATTTAAACTTCTCTCCCCTGGCCCAAATCTTGAAGATTTAAAGATTTTATTTTTAAAAGGCAGATGAAATCTAGTCCAACTGGTTTCTCACCATTTTCATCCAACGTTAAGCACCGATCGTTTCACGGTTTTAAAGGGAACTTAAAATCTTTTGGTAGTTAAACTCCATCATTTTGTTAAAGTCCTTAAGCAAGACTGCTTTACTTTGTTTAAATATTGACAGAAAACACTGTATTAATGGATTGGAGGATTTAAAAATCTTTGTTTTAACCAACACTAAATGTTAGCTGTCAAACAGTCCCTGAAATAATCTTTGCTCTTTTTTATCTTTGAGATTGGGATTGGTGATACTTAGCTTAATAATTCATTTATTTATTAAAAAATAATCTTGTTCAGAGAAAAAATATGTAGTCAATTTTAAGCAAATATATAAAATGGAATATGTGAGGTTGGGTGTGGTGGCTCATGCCTGTAACTCCAGCACTTTGAGAGGTCAAGGCAGGATAACTGCCTGAGCCCAGGAGTTCTATAGCAGCCCAGGCAACATAGCAAGATTTCTTCTCTCTATTAAAAAATAATAATAATAACTGGGCCTGTATTCTCAGTACTTGGGAGGCTGAGGCTGGAGAATCACTTGAGCCCAGGAGGTTGAGGCTGCAGTGAGCTATGATTATGCCCCTGCACTTCAGGCTGGGTAACAGGAACAGGGGAAGGAAGGGGAGGGGAGGAGGGAAGGGAAGGGAGGGGAGGGGAGGGAAGGGAGGGGAGGGGAGGGAAAGAAGAGAAGGGAAAAGAACACAGATGCATAAGACAATGGCAGGAAATGTGTGTGTTGAAATGGTGGGGGAAAAAAAGAAGAAGAAAAATACAGATGCATGACAAAATGCCAGAAAATGTTTGTATTGAAAAGGTGAGCAGATGCCAATTTTAAAAATCCGCAGGCCAGGCACAGTGGCTTACGCCTCTAATCCCAGCAATCTGGGAGACCGAGGCAGATGAATCACTTGAGCCCAGGAATTCAAGACCAGCCTGGCCAATATGGCAAAACCCCGTCTCTACTAAAATATAAAAAATTAGCTGGGTGCTGTGGCTTGTGCCTGTAATCCCAGCTACTCAGAAGGCTGAGGCAGGAAAATCATTTGAACCTGGAAGGCAGAGGTTGCAGTGAACCAAGATCATGCCACTGCATTCCAGCCTGGGTGACAGAGTAAGACTCTGTCTCAAAAAATAAAAATTAAAATAAAATAAAATCCAAAACACCACTAGGTTCTAGAATCTTTCTGTTTAGAATTATGAGGATGGAACTCAAGTGAGAGGAAATAATAGATATTCAGATTTAGGAATTAAATGTTTTAATGCTGGAAGTAGGAGGAGGACAAAATGAGGCTAGGAAATAAAATGAAATAGAAGTTTTAGGAGAGGTAAGAATACAGATGGTTGAGGACCATGATTTCCCCATTGCTTTACATTTTCAGGTGTTTCTTTGAATATGCTTATTTGTTCATAGGTATAAAAGAAGAAAGAATAAAGGAATAAGGAACATATAAGACAAGTAGGAAATGACAAGGTAGTAGATTAAATCTAAATTATGGAAGTGTGTGCTTTAAAAGTAAATGCAATAAATAACCTTGGCTACTAAAATAGTTGAGCTCATAGAAGTAGAGTCACATTGTGGTCATGAGAGGATAGGAAGGGTCAGGTGAGGAGAGGATGTGGAAAGGTCGGCTATTGGTTGCAAGTGCAGTTAGAAAGATTAAGTTCTAGTGTTCTACAGCACCATAGGGTGATTATAGTTAACAATAATTTATTGTATGTTTTCAAGTAGCTTAAAGACGGAATTTTGAATGTTCCCAACATAAATGACATAAATAAATGATAAATGTTTAAGGTAATGAATATGCTAATTACTCTAATTTGATTATTATACATTTTATTCATGTATCAAAATATCACTCTGTATCCCATAAGTATGATTATTATCTGTCAGTTAAAAATAAAATTGTCAGATATGATTTAAAATGTTTAAAAACTTAGTAGCCAAGTACAGTGGCTCATGCCTGTAATTCCAGGGCTTTGGGAGGCCCAGGTGGGTGGATCATGAGGCCAGGAGTTCAATACCAGGCTGGCCAAAATGGTGAAACCCCATCTCTACTGAAAATACAAAAATTAGCTCATGTGGTCACAGGCGCCTTTAATCCCAGCTACTTGGGAGGCTGAGGCAGGAGAATCACTTGAACCTGGATGGTAGAGGTTGCAGTGAGTCAAGATCCAGCTATTGCAATCCAGCCTGGCTGATAGAGTGAGACTCCCTCTCAAAAAACAAAACAAAAAAAAACCCACTTAGTTATATGTGCTTTAAAAGGGATACACTTTAAGTAAAATATCATTAGCTACTGTGACCACTCAAGAAAGAAAATATTTAAATTAATAAAATCAAAAATGAAAAAGAAGATTACTAAAAATTTTACAGATATTTAAAGACTTAAGACCTATAAAGGAATACTACAAACAACAATAGGCCAGGAAATAAGTAGATAAAATGGAAAAACCTCTAGAGACACACAAATTACCTAAATTGATTCCAGAAAATTAGAAAATTATAAAATACTTATGAGAAAAAATTAATTACTAATAAAAATCCTTCCCTAAAAATGTCGAATTCCAGATGGATTTTACAAATGTTTATATAAAGGAGACAATACTTCCCAACGCATTTTATGAAGTTTATATCACCGTGATACCAAAGCCAGAGAAAAATATCATATGAAAACAAATCTACACGGCAATATTCTTTGTAAATATAAATTTAAAAAATCTTCAAAATTATGCCGGCAAACTGAACCAAGCAATGTATAAAAAGAATTACGCACTACAACAAAGAGAGACTGGATTCAAGGTCAGTTTGACCATCAAAAATCAATTAATGCAATACACCATATTAACAAAATAGAGGATAAAAATGAAAATTACATCTCAGCAGATGTTGCAGAAAAAAAACCTGACAAAATCCAACAATCCTTAGTGATGAAACAGAAATCATTAACAAACTAACATTGGATGAAAATCTGATAAATGGCATTTGTGAAAAAATTACAAATAATATTATGCTTAAGGGTGAGGGACTGAATCTTTTTTTCCCTAAGATTGGGAAAAGATGAGAATATCTCTTCTCACCTATGCTATTCAACATTACAATGGAAGTGGTAATGAGGGCAATTAAGTAAGAAAAAGGACATTCAGTCTGGGGCAGTGGCTCACACCTGCAATCCCAGCACTTTGGGAGGGGGCAGATCACCTGAGATTAGGAGTTCTAGACCAGCCTGATCAACGTGGAGAAATGTTGATCTACTAAAAATACAAAATTAGCTGGGCACGGTGGTGCATGCCTGTAATCCCAGCGACTCAAGAGGCTGAGGCAGGAGAATCGCTTGAACCCGAAAGGTGTAGGTTGCAGTGAGCCAAGATCTCACCGTTGCACTCCACTCTGGGCAACAAAAGCGAAACTCTGCCTCAAAAAAAAAAAAAAAAAGAAAGGAAAGGAAAAGGATGTTCAGGTTGTCCTAATTGGAAAGAAACAAGATAAACTATCTTTATTCAAGATGGCATGAACATGTTCATATAAAGTCACAGAGTTCAATAAAAAACTAATAAGTTTGTCAAATTTGCAGAATACAAAACCAATATGGAAAATTCACTAATTACCAAATACTAATAATGAGAACAGGTATAAAATTTAAAAAACATCTAAAATAATAAAACTTTAAATAACAAAAGAAGCTTTACTGAAGACTCAGACATAAATACATAAAACATTGCGGAAATAAATTAAAGAAGATCTAAAAAATAAAAACTACCTAACGTTTATGGATAGAAAGAGTCAGTATTGTTAATATAGCAACATTCCTCAGATTTATCTACAGATTCAACACAATCCTGGGTGTCTTTTTAAGCAAATTAAAAATAAATAAATATTGAAATACATTTGGAAATGCATAGTAGCCAGAATAACCAAAAGAATCTTGGAAAATAAGAATATTGAAGGATGTACACTTACCAATTCCAAATCTTCTTACAAAAATACAGTAGTAAAGAAAATGTGGTAGTGGCATTAGGATAGACATAAAGATTAATGGACTAGAATTTTAAGTCTGGTAATAATCCTTAACATTTATGGTCAACTGATCTTTGAAAAAAATCAAGAACATTCAGTGGGAAACAAATAATTTCTTCAACAAATAGTGTGAGAACAGCTGGATATCGATATGAAAAAAAAAATTTGAACCCCTACCTCATCCAATACAAAATATTAAAGTGTATCATATAACAAAATGAGATTAAACATTAAAACATGTAGAAGAAACATAAGAATAAATGATGTGATATTGGTTGTGATGGTTAATTTTACCATAAACTTGGCTGAACCACTGTGCTCAGATATTAGGTCAAACATTACCCTGGATGTCTCTGTGAAGATACCTTTTAGATGAAATTAACATTTAAATTGGCAAAGCTCTAGTAAAGCAGATTACTCTTCATTATGTGGGTTAACCTCATCCAATCAGTTGAAGGCTTTTTTTTAGAAACTGGTATTTCCTAAACAAAAGAAAGTCTGCCAGCAGACTATGTTGGTCTTAAAATGCAAATCTTCCTTGGATCACCAGCCTGCCAGCTTACCCTATAGATTTTGGATTTACCAAGCCCTCACAGTCATCTGAGTCCGTTCCATAAAATCGCTCTCCTTTTCTCTCTCTCCCTCTTTCTGTATGTACACAGACACACACATATATATATCTCATGTTGGTTTTATTTCACTGGAGAACCCGGATATAGATGTCGGTACCAGGAATGAGGTACCAAGAAAACAGAATATTAAGGGGAAATCTTCTGAATTGGTTCTGGGGTTTTGGGAATTTGCCTTCTACTCCAATTAGATTTAAAGACAGTTCTGCCGGGCGCGGTGACTCACGCCTGTAATCCCAGCACTTTGGGAGGCCGAGGCCGGTGGATCACGAGGTCAAGAGATCGAGACCATCCTGGTCAACATGGTGAAACCCCGTCTCTACTAAAAATACAAAAAAATTAGCTGGGCGTGGTGGCGCGTGCCTATAATCCCAGCTACTCGGGAGGCTGAGGCAGGAGAATTGCTTGAACCCAGAAGGCGGAGGTTGTGGTGAGCCGAGATCGCGCCATTGCACTCCAGCCTGGGTAACAAGAGCGAAACTCCGTCTCAAAAAAAAAAAAAAAAAAAAAAGATTTAAAGACAGTTCTATAGAGAGCAGATAGGTCATGGCTTGATGCAGCAATAGAGATAGGCACTGATCAAACACTTATGAAGGCAAGGGTCTTGGTGACCATGTATATGATACTTTTGAACATATTTGTCAAACTAGCAAATATAATGACATTGGTTGCTCCTAATGTTGCTGGACAAAGTGAAGAAAGAAGAGAATAAGCTTAAGTATTTAAATTACCATCTCAAGTGATGCATAAATTACCCAAAAGCTTCTTCATGTGTCTCGAAATAAATTTTTATATCCTATAGCCACAGAGCTGAGATTACTAAAAACCAAAAAACCAAACCCAGAATCTTGTCCTGTCATTGGATGAATTACAGTGCAAACAGAATTCCCAAACTCTCACGGTACTACTGTCTAAGAGAGAGCACTGAGTGGGAAGCAGTGGGATCCTCAAAATTGTAATGGGAACCTAGAGAAGGACTCTGATGAAGCTGGGCTATAAAACTCCTAAATGCTGTCAAGTTTTGTTTGCTAGTAGAAGAAGCCTCTCTTTCACTTTCTGAGGAAATTAATTAGCCCTGAATCCCCTAAGGAAAATATAATGACCTCCCCTGAGGCCGTTCCCTTTCAGGATAGAGGTGATTCTCCTCAGGACCCTAGATATGTATCTTCAATATTTATGTGGATGGCATTTGTGTTTGTTACACCAGGATTTTAACACAATGACTATGAATAAAGAAGTGCCTCTGCTGACAATAAAGATCTAGATTATAGAAAAAGATGCCACTAACAGTTGAAAACGTCATGATTGGAGTTCTGGAAACTTACAAAACTAGTTTTAAGGCATAATGATACAAGTTATGAAGTTTCTGGTACATGTATCCATACATGTGGGTATATATGTTTTGGTATTTATGGATGTGTAAATACATAATTTATCAATTATAATCATCAGTGCTTATATTGCTGTATAATAATAACCATGTTCATCACCTACCTCTATGCTTTGTATTTTATAGGGTAGATCTCTTGATTCAATATCCTTCACAGTATATAAGGAAACATCTGCTTTCTTATGTTTTACTTGGTAAATTACATGTTCAAAAGCAACTGAAGACTCCAGGGGTTCAATTCCATAACTAACATTTTCAAACTGTAGTAAGCCCCTACAAATTTCAAAAAAAAATTAATAAGTAAAATAATGTTTTGTGGAAAGTCAATAAAACGCCACTTAGCATTATTTTTTTCATGGTATGCATATTATTTTTAGCCTGAGTCTAAAATAATAAAATAGGAGAAAGTTACTGGGTATTCACATACTTACTGAGTGACACCGCATAGTAATGCTATTAGCATTTGCCTAGCTGTTAATATTTCATGGCTTCCAAATATATTTAAAAAATCAGAATTCTGCAAAAAGGCAGGAGTCATTATAAGAATTTCCATACCATGCTTTTTCAGTGGCAATTTTCCCACAATAGCCATTCCTCACTTAACATCACTGAATATTATTTTAAAATGTTTAAAATAATTTTGAATTAAATATTTTCCTTTGTAATTTATAAAACTATAAATTACAACCTGAGTCCAGTACATGTGCTAACCATCACCACAGATTTTGGATAACCTTCAATATACCCTTGGTAGTAGCAGAAATTCTGAAAAATAAAGATAAAATGCACATACCTCCATTAGAATGATTTGCGTTAAAGATATAATTTTCAAAATAAATAAATACATTTTAAAAAGAAACAAAAAAAGAGATACAATTTTCAAATATGGAAAACATATATATGTTTTGTATGTGTGCATCAAACATTCATTGTTTCCAAATGGATTTATAAGGTTATTAGATGCTCATCTGATATGGCTCAGTTTTCCAAAGTGCTCCCCACAGATGCATAAAAATGAGTATATTTTCATATGTGTATATATTTTAAACTAAACATTATATTCTCAGTTGTTAGAGTAAGGTGAACATCATCAAAATTTATTTTTTTCATACTATTCTAAGCAAAATTGATTTTTAATTTCATCAAAATGTTTGTCAATTCCATCAAAATGTTTTAATTTGCAAATTTCACCTGGAATTTATATGGATCTTCACTTTATAGTTCATCTTTCTACTGTGACACCTAAAATCTTAATTTGTACCACTTCACAAATACCAAACTTCATCGACCTAATATACTGTATTTCTATTTCCCATCTTATTTAAAAGTTTATGTAAAAATATTTATGCTTTTATTTTTATTATTAATTGGGGTGTACTTCATACTTTATATAATGAAGATAAAAGTATCTTGAACATTCCACAGCTTTTATCGCCTTCCTTTCAAATGTGGTTTATAATATCCAGATTGATTACATTTCTAATTCTGTGGAACAATCAGGACGTTGCATCAACTTTAAACATAGGATGACATTGAGAAACTTAGAAATGAAAGAATAAGTCATTTTTAAGTCACATAGGATACAATTTTCATGGACAATTAAAAAAGCTTCACTTATTATCCAATCTCCTTTCCCTGTTTATTTTTATTTTTAATTTTATCATTGTCAGTTTTTGCATCATTTGCCTTCACGACAATATCTTCTTGTTCAATATTCTATTTGCACTTGAAAAGTATCTGTACGCACTTGATATACTTGCTGAATTAATTTCTACTTCATTTAGACGTTTGGAAAATTTCTACTTTATAAATTCTTGGAAGATAAATGTTTAAAATTTTAAATATAATTATTATTTGTCTCTTTCATTTCTGTCAATTGCCTTCTTCTGTAATTTGAGGTCTGTTTTTATGTGCACACACATTTTAGATCGTTTTATCAACCTGATAATGTCACCTTTTAATCATGATGACTGTCCTTGAGAGATCACAAAATCCAGGACAATGGTGAATGGCTTACGCTCGTCCTACTCTGAATGCAGGGAAAACACTTTCCTGGTCTAGCTGGCTGATTTTTTTTCTTTTGGAGATAAGTCTTTATTTACCAAGATAATAAGGCTTTAGGAATGGGAATCATGTGGAGACTTAAGAAAAATAAATAATCCAATAAATACACCTGTTCCCAACCTAATTTAATGAGCTTTTTCCTAGGATAGAGATAGGCCTGCAACTTTGGAAAACATAATTTATTTTTGTGGTAGTGTATTCTCACTACATTTGAGATCAAAATGCAATTCCTTACCACATTCAGATTACTGATGCTTTGAATGCTCTGTAGCATTCTTGTTTTTTTTTTTAAATATACATTGTTGATTTAATGGAAATATTTATATGCAGTAAAACATAAAATGAATTATTGGTTGTATTGCTACATTTAAACAATATGCTTAAGTAACTAAAACATAATTAAGAATCCCAAAAGTGTCCTAGTCAACTATTTTCAAATTAAAAATACATGATCACAAGTATTTAAAACTATGATAAAATTAATATTTATTTAATTATCTTTACATCCATAATAAAAGTTACTAGTTTGCTAGCAAGAATGATTTTTAACAAGGGTGATCTTGTTTAAATAGCTATGATTTTCTATGTTTCCATTATTATTTTAAATACATATTGACATTTATTTTTAAATGAAACGACAGAGCTGAACCACTGAAGCCCACTTCATGATAAGCACTGAAGAGAAATATGAGACCACTATAATCCCCAATTCCTTCATAAGGAAAACAGTCTGAAGAATATTATTTAAAATAAATTTAAGTACATATTGGATTTGTGAAAGACTTATGTAAACATAACTTGAATTTACTTAAAAAAAGAAATATAAAAACAAATATTTTATAATTCCCTCCAAAAGACTTATTCAAATATGAGTTTAAGTAATAGCTGCAGGATTGGGGTGAGAAAGCCGGGCGTGGAGGTGCATGCACCTGTAGTCCCAGCCCTTTGGGAGGCAGAAGTGGGAGGATCATTTCAGCCTGGGAGTTCGAGGCTGCAGTGAGCTGTGATTGCACTATTGTACTCGGGCCTGGGCAACTGAGTGAGTCCCTGTCTTTAGAAAAAAATTTTTTAGATGGAAAAGTTCATAGAAAGAGGCACTAATCAATCATCAAATGTAATTTGTTTTCCTCTGAAACACAGCAATGTTAGGTTCTTTTCACTTCCTCCTTGCTTCCCATGAAGGATGAAGAGGCAGCTGCCAATCGCTGTTTTGTGTTTTCAAGTTTTCTTTGTAGCTTCTTGTTAAACTAATTCTTGATCTGAGTTTCATTCTGCGGAAAATCTAGGGATCTGCTTTTTGGAGGCTGTTCTTTGTAATTTCTTCTAGAGCTTTTGGATACAGATAAAGAGTGGGAAAACCCTGATTTTAACTTTCTGGTTTCTGTATTTGGCTTGGTTTTGTCATTTCTTCTATCTCCACGAGTTTCACCTGTATCTTCTTTAAGTAACACTTTTTCGAGTGGTTTTTGTTTATTTATTTATTTTTTTGAGACAGAGACTCTCTGTCTCACTCTGTCTCTAGGCACCAGGCTGGAGTGCAGTGGCATGATCTCGGCTCACTGCAACCTCTGCCTCCCAGATTCAATCAATTATCCTGCCTCAGCCTCCCGAGTATCTGGGACTACAGGCGCTCACCACCACAACCAGATAATTTTTGTATTTTAGTAGAGACGGTGTTTTACCACATTGGCCAGGATGGTCTTGATATCTCGACCTTGTGATCTGCCTACCTGGGCCTCCCAAAGGGCCGGGATTACAGGCATGAGCCACCATGCCCGATGACAACTACTTTCCTTCCTTCGTGTCCATCTGACTTTCCCAGTAAAGAAGTCATCACCACTATCACTATCTTTAGACATGGAAGACTGTAAAATCTTTCTTCTGTGCTATCATCAAAATACTCCTCCTCTTCACATAATTCTTCTCTACCATCACTGCTACCACATAGTGAGCTATCAGATACTTTCCTTTTTTGGTTTGACTTAGTGTTTTCAGTTTGGGGTCAGCAGGTGTCTTCTGGGACTCAAAGGAAACTACAGAATCCTTTTCTGAAAGCTTTGATGGAGAATTTGGAATAGTCACTGCTTTAGGTTCATGCTCTATCTTGCTATTTTTTTCCTTTGAAGTGAGTACTGGTTTCTTTGCCAGTATTTTGGTTTCTTTCACTTTTTGCTCACTGATAATAGTTCCTTCATGCTGTAAATTACTTCCATTATCTTTTGAATACCAAGTGTTCTTAGAATAATTGTCCTTGGAAGCATTCCTTGGTGACTCAACTTCAGCAACATTTTGTCTTGCCTCTTTAAAGGTTTGGACGGCAGCTTTTAGCACGTCTGTCTCTTTCTTCAGAAGAGGCTGCACTGCTAGTCTGGCAATTGCTCATTCAGTTGCACTAGAATCTGGCTTTTTGCAGATTTTTTCAAAGTTGTTATCATCACCAAGAACAGATTTAGTTACCATATCAGGTTTCAATTTCCTCATGGCATGGATTTCTTCAAGCAATTGTTGCGTCCGTCTTTGCTTTTTCAACAGTGCATCTTCAGTACCCTTTTTTGACTTCAATCTGCCAACACTCCTGACAAGTTTTTGGATAATCAAAACTCGAATTCTCTTCACTTCTTTTCTCATCTTCACAACATCGTTATTGAGGTTCGGAGTTCCTAGCTGAGCCATGGTAGATGGAGGAATATGATCTGCTGCTGCTTGCATGTGAACTCGTTTTTTTAACTATACATTTATCTTTCATTATTACAGCTTGGGAAGTAGGAGGCAGAGTTATGTATGGAAGAATGATACAAAATTCAGATGTGGGATTTTCCTGTCTTCTCTCTCTCCTCTCTTTCATACATACACACATAACAGTATACTAGTTATATTGAAGATGGAGACCCAGGCATCTCAGATCAACTTCCCCTTTTCATATGTGATTCCTAAAACTGTAAACCGAAATCTTTTCATATGTAATTCCTGAGACTGTAAACCAAGACCCTTTTCATATGTAAAACTATAAACCTAAGATTCTTCTACGTGTAACATCTAAAGTATAAGCCTAGATTAAGGCAGAACCTTCCTTTGTTAGGGGAGCTGGGTTTACCACCCAAGGCTCCCAGCTGAATAAACCCTCCTTCCTCCTGTATTCCATGTCTGAAAGATCAGTTTCCCATGGCCGCTCCTGTGACAATATGTACAGACTACTCTATAACTGACTCATAGAGTTGTGTACTCTCTTGGGCAAAACTTAAAGCAACTGACCATATCTACTATTTCTTCTGGTAAATCCTAGCATCTCTAAAAATGCTTTACTTTCAAAACACTTGACTGAGTCATTATATAAAACTCAAAAATGCAAATGGAAAACACAACAGCAATTAGTAGAGCAGGGCAGAGGTTAAAAAAAAAAGGACACTTCAGGCATGAGCAATCCCAGTAATTTTATTCACTCTTCTTTATTATTTTTATAACAAATTATAGACAATATTAAATTAAGCTCTACATTTTCCAAATAGATGAAAATTTAATATACCCCTAAATGTGTACAAAATTTCATGTGTACTTACTTAGTCCTTGAACATACTTAAAAGAAGATTGGATTTGTATTTTCTTTTTCAATTTAGCTTTCCTGATTCAAATTATAGTTTTTCACTTAACATATTTCACAACATATTTAGTCCCTATCACCTCAGGTACCTAATCCCTTAGCATGTTTCTGAATAGTTTAGGAACATTACAATCATGCCGTTTTGGTTATTACTTTATTTTATTTTTATTTTTTTATTGCATTTTAGATTTTGGGGTACATGCGAAGAACATGCAAGATTGTTGCACAGGTTCACACATGGCAATGTGATGTGCTGCCTTCCTCCCCTTCACCTATATCTGGCATTTCTCCCCATGCTATCTCTCCCCAACTCCCTACCCCCTGCTGTCCCTCCCCTAGTCCCCCCCAACAGATCCCAGTGTGTGATGCTCCCCTCCCTGTGTCTGTGTGTTCTCTTCAACACCCACCTATGAGTGAGAACATGTGGTGTTTGATTTTCTGTTCTTGTGTCAGTTTGCTGAGAATGATGGTTTCCAGGTTCATCCATGTCTCTACAAAAGACAGGAACTCATAGTTTTTGATGACTGCATAATATTCCATGGTGTGTATGTGCCACATTATCCCTGTCCATTCTATCATTGATGGACATTTGGGTTGGTTCTAGGGCTTTGCTATTGTGAGCAGTGCTGCAGTGAACATTCATGTGCATGTGTCCTTAGAGTGGAACAATTTATAATCCTTTGGATATATACCCAGTAATGGGATTGCTGGGTCAAGTGGAATTTCTATTTCTAGGTCCTTGAGGAATCGCCACACTGTCTTCCACAATGGTTGAACTAATTTACACTCCCATCAACTGTGTAAAGTGTTCCTATTTCTCCATATCCTCTGCAGCATCTGTTGTCTCCAGATTTTTTAATGATCGCCATTCTAACTGGCATGAGATGGTATTTCTATGTAGTTTTGATTTGCATTTCTCTAATGACAAATGATGATGAGCATTTTTACATATGTTTGTTGGCCTCGTGTATGTCTTCTTTTGTAAAGTGTCTGTTCATATCCTTCGCCCACTTTTGAATGGGGTTGTTTGTTTTTTTCTTGTAAATCTGTTTTAGTTCTTTGTAGGTTCTGGATATCAGCCCTTTGTCAGATGGATAGACTGCAAAAACTTTTTCCCATTCTGTTGGTTGCTGCTTCACTCTAATGACTGTTTCTTTTGCCATGCAGAAGCTGTGGAGTTTGATTAGGTCCCATTTGTCTATTTTGGCTTTTGTTGCCAATGCTTTTGGTGTTTTGGTCATGAAGTCCTTGCCTACGCCTATGTCTTGAATGGTTTTGCCTATATTTTCTTCTAGGGTGTTTAGGGTGTTCGGTCTTATGTTTAAGTCTTTAATCCATCTGGAGTTAATTTTAGTGTAAGGTGTCAGGAAGGGGTCCAGTTTCTTCTTTCTGCACATGGCTAGCCAGTTTTCCCAACACCATTTATTAAACAGGGACTCCTTTCCCCATTGCTTCTTTCTGTCAGGTTTGTCAAATATCAGATGGTTGTAGATGTGTTGTTTTGCCTCCGAGGCCTCTGTTCTGATCCATTGGGCTATATCTCTGTTTTGGTACCAGTACCATGCTGTTTTGATTACTGTAGCCTTGTAGTATAGTTTGAAGTGCAGGAGTGTGTTGCCTCCCACTTTGTTCTTTTTGCTTAGAATTGACTTGGCTGTGTGGGTTCTCTGTTGGTTCCATATGAAGTTTAAGGTGGTTTTTTCCAGTTCTGTGAAGAAGGTCATTAGTAGCTTGATGGGGATAGCATTGAATCTGTAAATTACTTTGGGCAGTATGGCCATTTTTAAGATATTGATTCTTCCTAACCACGAACATGGAATGTTTCTCCATCTGTTTGTGTCCTCTCTTATTTCATTGAGCAGTGGTTTGTAGTTCTCCTTGAAGAGGTCCTCTATGTTCCTTGTTAGTTGTATTCCTAGGTATTTTATTCTCTTTGTAGCAATTGTGAATGGCAGTTCATTCTTGATTTGGCTCTCTTTAAGTCTCTTATTGGTGTATAGGAATGCTTGTGATTTTTGCATATTGATTTTTTATCCTGAGACTTTGCTGAAGTTGTTTATCAGTTTCAGGAGATTTTGGGCTGAGATGATGGGGTCTTCTAGGTATACAATCATGTTATTTGCAAATAGAGACAATTTGACTTCCTCCTTTCCTGTCTGAATATGCTTTATTTCTGTTTTTGGTTAATCATCGGTTTAACAGGGTTAACTCAGTATATCAATATACATCATCAACAGGAAAACATTAAATTCAGGCCAAAAAAGCCATGACCCAACCCTTTGGACTCTAGTAACATGTGGACACTAATAAGGTGATCACAGAAACTCACATGACAAAAATAAAACAGATAATAAAAAACATACCTGCAAATCTTGGTCAAGTGGTTTCATAATTCCCGTGCGATTATAACTGTAAACTCTAAAATTATAGGGTAAAAAATTTCTGTAATATAAAGATAAAATGGAAAAATTTGTTTCTGAAACTTTCATTTTGAAAAGTTTATTTTATTATTATAGATAGGTAGGTCGACATGGAAAGATAAAAGAGAAACAGAGATATTTCCTGAATGTATGAATTTTGTTCTAAATTGTATTTAAACATCTTAGACTTCACTCTCTCTTTTGTTACTCTGTTTTCCTAGTTGTTTTCCAAACACAACAGGCAAGCTTGGATCTCAGGATATTTGAACTATTGTGTTGGCCCTTCCTGGAAAGTTCTGCTACATAGTTCATTGTTCATCTACTTCAAGTCTTTGCTTATGCATCAACTTCCCATTGAGGCTTACCTTGAAAATTTTATTTAAAATGTCAACTCGTATAATCACCAAAGCATAGAATTTTTAAAACACACTCTAAGTATTGCTCAAGCATGTATTACCTTCTCACATTCTTTCTACTCTATTTATTTATTTATTATATAATTGTTAGTCTCATTTGATGATAATATAAACTCAAGAGATTGGTATCTATGTTGTTACTAATACTAATGCACCCCAAGCATTAGTAATGTTTGCCAAAGTTACATAAAAAGTTAAGCTAATCTCTGATGATCAGAGCATTTTTTTTCAAAATTGATGAGACAATATCAAAAAGCTGTATGTAAGTCAAGTAGAATAAAGGGAAATATAAGTCAAATGTAAATATATCATCAAAAGAAAAAGAGTAATAAAAACCCAGATAAACTTTAAAGATCTTTAAAATATCAAGAAAAAAGAACATTACCTTTGAAGAAACAAATAATACTTAGTAAACAAATTAACAAATAATACAGGTACTTCAGCAATAGAAAAGAAAAAAAAGCCAGAAAACAATGGAATGGTGATTTAAAAGGCAAAGGACATCTTTTTGAAAGATGTCTTAGAATTTATTCCAACAAAAATATTATAACAATTTGTTGTTTCGTATGAATTTTAGGATTGTTTTTTATTTCCATTTCTGTGAAAACTGTCATTAGAATTTTGAGAGAGTTTACCCTGAATCTGTAGATTGCTTTGGGTATTATGGACATTTTAGCAATATTAATTTTTCCAGTTCATGAACATGGTTTATCTATTTATTTGCTGTTTTCCTTCATTTCTTTTAACAATGTTTTATAGCTTTCAGACTACAGATCTTTTACCCCGAGTTAAATTTGTCTAAATAGCCAAAACGATCTCGATCAAAATGAACACAACTATTGGCATCATACTACCTGATTTCAAACTATACTATATAGCCATAGTAACCAAAACAGCATGGTACTGGTATAAAAATAAAAGGAACAATATAGATAGAAATTAAACAAAAGACCAGAGGCAGTGGCTCATGCATATAATCCTAGTACTCTGAGGGGAGAGGCAGGCAGATCACCTGAGGCCAGGAGTTTGAAATCAGCCTGACCAACATGGAGAGACCCTGTCCCTACAAGAAATACAAAATTAGCTGGGTGTGGTGGCACATGCCTGTAATCTCAGCTACTCAGAAGGCTGAGGCAGGGCAATCACTTGAATCAGGGAGGCAGAGGTTGCAGTGAGCCAAGATTGCCCCATTGCACTCCAGCCTGCGCGATAAGGTAAAACTCTGTCTCAAAAAGAACAAAAAACAAAAAACAAAACCCAAAACAAACAAACAAAAAAAACGCACACACATTTACAGTCAGTTCAGGTTTGAGAAAATTGTCAAGAAGACACAGTAGGGAAAGGACAGTCTCTTCAATGAAATCACATGTAGAAAAGTGGACACCCACATGCAGAAAAACAAAATTAGATCCTATCACATACTATATTAAAAAAAAATAAAACCTCAAAATGGATTAAAATTTAACCATAGTAGCTGCTATGCTAAAATTACTAGAAGAAAGCATAGAGGAAATGCTTGACATTGGCCTATGTGATGTTATTTTGGCTATGACTACAAAAAAAACAAAACTAGACAAAAGGTAGACAAATGAGAGCACAGAAAATTTAAAAGCTTCTGTACAGCAAAGGAAAAAATCAACACCATGAAGAGACAACCTATAGAACGGGAGAAAAGATTTGCAAACTATACATCTAATAAGGGGTCAAAATCCAAAATGTATAAGGAACACAAACAACTCAATAGCAAAAAAACAAAAATTGAAAATGAGCAAAATACCTAAACAGACTTTCTCAAAAGAAGACATATAAATGGCCAAGAGGTATATGAAAAATGTTCATTATCACTAATCATCCGAAAAGGGTATATTAAAGCCACAATGAGAAAACACCTTACTCCTGTTTAATTGGCTATTATCAAAAAGACAGCAGATACCCAGTGTTGGCAAGGATGTGGAGAAAGGGGAACACTTACACAATGTTAGTGGAAATGTAAATTAATACAACAATTAATAATGAGGTTTCTCAAAATGTTAAAAATAGAACTACTGTATGAGTCAGCAAAATATGCCAAATTCAGAAAGAAAAATATTACCTGATCTCATTTATATGGAAGTCTAAGAAATTCAAACTCATAGAAGCACAGAGTAGAATGGTGGTTTTGAGGCGCTGAGAGTGGAGAAATTGGAGATGATGGTTAAAAGAAAGAAAGTTTCAGTTAGAATGAATAAGTTCTGGAGAGCTTTTGTACAACAAGTTAACTGTAGTTAATAATGTTTTATATTGCAAATTGCTAAGGGATTAGATCTCAAGTATTCTCAACCACAAATAAAGGTAAGTATTTGAAGTAATGGATATGTTCATTGGCTTCATCATTTCACAATGAATGCCTATCTAAAAATATGTTGTGAACTGTTAATATATATAATTATTTTCTGTCAATTAGACCTTTATATAGCTGGATGGGGAAGAATATAATTAAATAAAGATTCAATGACAAATAAAAACACATATAATTTAAACAAGTAGTCTTATAATAGAAATACATTAATAATTTCTGAGATATATCAAAATTAGCTCCAGACAGAAGCACCGAAATATAGGGAGAACTAAAGAGCACCAGAATCAGTAAATTTTGGTTAAATTAAAATGAATACTGACTTTATTAAAAAAAATAGTAATACTTCATGGGGATTTAAAAGTATACAGGCTTGTGATGTATGAAAAAAATAATGAAAGGGAAGCAGAGGGTAAAGGGAGTTAGAGATTTAAGGATCTAAAAATGCATGGTAATTGGTAGGAGGAATAATTTGTCATAGATTCAATTACTCAAGAGTTGATATGTTAGCACAGAGAAACTACTAAAAGAAGAGTAAAAGAATGTATGACAAAGAATTTAATTGAAGGATAATGCATAAGTTAATAGATTCAATCAAATACAGGCAATGAAGAAAAAAGAGGAATATAAAACAAAAGATAAAACAGAAAAAATATAATGATTCCAAAATCATGTGAAAATTCAAACCATCAAGAAGAGTAAGAGCATCTTAAAATTGAAGGACAACTCTGGTTATAAACACCTATTATAAAGTCACAGTAATTAAAACCACGACATTTGGACAGACAGACAGGGTCTAAGAATGACCATACAAAGAAAGAGACGAGAACACTGTAATCCCAGCACTTTGGGAGGCTGAGGCGGGTGGATCACGAGGTCAAGAGATCGAGACCATCCTGGTCAACATGGTGAAACCCCGTCTCTACTAAAAATACAAAAAATTAGCTGGGCATGCTGGTGCGTGCCTGTAATCCCAGCTACTCAGGAGGCTGAGGCAGGAGAATTGCCTGAACCCAGGAGGCGGAGGTTGCTGTGAGCCGAGATCGCGCCATTGCACTCCAGCCTGGGTAACAAGAGCGAAGCTCCGTCTCAAAAAAAAAAAAAAGAAAGAAAGAGAAAGAGAACAAAGAATCCAGAGACTTCTTTATATACAATCATTTAATTTATAACAAAGATTACATTACAGTGCAGTGAACAAATATCACTTTTTTATTGGGCTGGGTCCATCACAGCACAAATAATTGCCAGAGCATCTATGATGAGGAAAAAGGTGAAAAGACTATCTTTAGGCTATCAAGATTTATTATAAATAGACAACTAGACCAAAAGGTTTAATCAAGAGTCTGGAAACAAATAAAACCATATATAAATGTATAATATATAACCATCCTGACACAGAAGACATATACAGAAAGGAGATCCATACAGCTCTTGAAACATTTGAAAAATCATATATAGAAAAACTAAATTGGTTGTCGACCTTACAGCATAGTCAAAAGCCAATTTCTGTTTCAACAAAGACCTGAATGTGAAAGGCAAAACTAAAAATATTTTAGAGGATTATATAAGATTTAGTCGGAGGGGACTCAAGATGGCGCTGTGAGAACAACCCAGGATTGGAGCCCGCGTTGAATTCGCAAACGGTGAGTCAGTGCTGCATTTCCAGACTGATCTTTGTTGCCCACAGAACGGGGAAACTCCCAAGTATAAAAAGACACGGGACGCCAGGCAGTAGGTCTGCCTGGCGAAGCCGGCAGCCGGGGCGGCGGCGGCCGGCCCTACCCAGCAATCCCCACAGGGCGCGCTTGTCCGGGTGCCTTGTTGAACCGGCAACCTGAGACTTGAGAGGGCTGGACTTGAGACTGAACGAGACTTGCACAGTAGCCCAGCCCAGGGGATTGCAGGGACAGATCGTTTGGGATACCCAGTGGGACGAACAAAACCGCGATTTCAAACTATCCCGGGCAGACGGTCCGAAAAGCTCTGTGGGGGAGGGGCGTCCACCACTACGGAGGCAACCCGCCCCAACTGATATACACGCCCACTGCTGAAGCAGCCAGCCGTTGCCGAGGCAACCCGCCCCAACTGAGATACACGCCCACTGCTGACGCAGCCAGCCGTTGCCGAGGCAACCCGTCCCTACTGAGATACACGCCCACTGCTGACGGAGCCTGCTGTTGCTGAGGCAACACGCTACAACGAAGAGACTCCGCCGCAGGGCGTGGCGGAGACCACAGCAGAGCCGGCAGGAACAGCGCGAATCACACAACAGCAGGGCGGAGCCTCGGCAGCCAAACAGTGGCTAGTCTGCCTTTGAGCTGGGCAGGACACCTGATCGGACATCCAAAAATAAAGCCCAAACCCCTCAACACAGAGCATTTGAGAAAAAAAAAGGGTTGTTTAATGAGCTGTGTTGCAGCAGAATCAAACATAGCAGCCTAACAGCCCTGAATGAACAACAGAGTGCACAGCTCAGCAATTAAACCCCTATAAAGTACAAACTGTCTCCTCAAGCAGCTCCCTGACCCCTCTATATCCAAAAGACTGTCATTAGGCAGGCATCATCCTGGGACAAAGAGAGCAGAAAAAGAAACTGGTAGCATCCCTCGCTGTGCCACGGCTACTAGAGGTGCACCCCAGACAAGCAGGGTCTGGAGCGGACCTCAACAGTCATACAGCGAAGGGGCTAGACTGGTAGAAGGAAAACCAAGCAACAGAAATACTTCATCATCAACATTCTGGGTGTCCACTCAGAGACCCAAACGAAAAGTCAGCAACTACGCAGCCGACCAGCGGACAAATCCACAAAGATGGGAAGAAACCAGCGCAAAAAGGAGGAAAACACCCGAAACCAGAACACATCGCCTCCTAGAAAGGACCAAAACTCCTCACCAGCAAGGGAACAAAGCTGGACGGAGAATGACTGTGACGAAATGACGGAATTAGACTTCAGAAGATGGATAATGAGAAACTTTTGTGAGCTAAAAGATCATGTATTAAATCAATGCAAAGAAACTAAGAACCTTGAAAAAAGATTTGAAAAAAGATTCGAGGAAATGATAACAAGAATGGATACCTTAGAGAGGAATATGAATGAATTAAAGGAGCTGAAAAACACAATACGAGAACTTCGCGAAGCAAACGCAAGTTTCAATAGCCGAATTGACCAAGCAGAAGAAAGAATATCTGAAGTCGAAGACCAACTCAATGAAATAAAACGAGAAACCAAGATCAGAGAAAAAAGCGCAAAAAGGAATGAACAAAGTCTCCAAGAAATGTGGGACTATGTGAAAAGACCTAACCTACGTTTGATAGGTGTACCAGAAGGGGACGAAGAGAATGAATCCCAGCTGGAAAATACTCTTCAGGACATCATCCAGGAAAATTTCCCCCACCTAGCAAGACAAGCCAACACTCAATTGCAGGAAATACAGAGAACACCACAAAGATATTCCGCAAGAAGAGCAACCCCAAGGCACATAATCGTCAGATTCAACAGGGTTGAAATAAAGGAGAGAATACTAAGGGCAGCCAGAGAGAAAGGTCGGGTCACCCACAAAGGGAAGCCCATCAGACTCACAGCAGATCTCTCGGCAGAAACACTACAAGCCAGAAGAGAGTGGGGGCCAATATTCAACATTCTTAAAGAAAAGAACTTTCAACCCAGAATCTCATATCCAGCCAAACTGAGCTTCAGAAGTGAAGGAAGAATAAAATCCTTTGCGAACAAGCAAGTACTCAGAGATTTTGTCACCACCAGGCCTGCTTTACAAGAGCTCCTAAAAGAGGCACTACACATAGAAAGGATCAATCAGTACCAGCCATTCCAAAATCACACTGAATGCTAAAGAGCTTCAACATAATGAAGAATCTACAACAACTAACAGGCAAAACAGCCACTTAGCATCAAAATGGCAGTATCAAATTCACACATAACAATATTAACCCTAAATGTAAATGGACTAAATGCACCAATCAAAAGACACAGACTGGCAAATTGGATAAAAATCCAAAACCCATCAGTGTGCTGTATCCAGGAAACCCATCTCACATGCAAGGATACACAAAGGCTCAAAATAAAGGGATGGAGGAAGATTTACCAAGCTAATGGAAAGCAAAAAAAAGCAGGAGTTGCAATTCTCATCTCTGATAAAATAGACTTTAAAGCAACAAAGATCAAAAGAGACAAAGAAGGCCATTACATAATGGTAAAAGGATCGATACAACAAGAAGAGCTAACGATCCTAAATATATATGGACCCAACACAGGAGCACCCAGATACATAAGGCAAGTTCTTAATGACTTACAGAAGGACTTAGACTCCCACACAATAATAGTGGGAGACTTTAACACTCCACTGTCAATACTAGACAGATCAACCAGACAGAAAATCAACAAGGATACCCAGGGCTTGAACTCAGACCTGGAGCAAGCAAACCTGGTGGACATTTACAGAACTCTCCACCCCAAATCCACAGAATACACATTCTTCTCAGCACCACATCACACCTACTCTAAAATTGACCACATAATTGGAAGTAAAGCACTGCTCAACAAATGCAAAACAACTGAAATCATAACAAACAGCCTCTCAGACCATAGTGCAATCAAGTTAGAACTCAGAATTCAGAAACCGACCCAGAACCGCACAGCTTCATGGAAACTGAACAACTGGCTCTTGAATGTTGACTGGGTAAACAACGAAATGAAGGCAGAAATAAAGAAGTTCTTCGAAACCAATGAGAACGAAGACACAACGTGCCAGAACCTCTGGGACACATTTAAAGCAGTCTCTAGAGGAAAGTATATAGCAATAAGTGCCCATATGAGGAGAATGGAGAGATCCAAAATTGACACCCTATCGTCAAAATTGAAAGAGCTAGAGGAGCAAGATCAAAAAAACTCAAAACCCAGCAGAAGACAAGAAATTACTAAGATCAGAGCTGAGCTGAAGGAGTTTGAGACACGAAAAACCCTTCAAAAAATCAATAAATCCAAGAGCTGGTTTTTTGAAAAGATCAACAAAATAGACAGACCACTAGCCAGATTGATTAAAAATAAAAGAGAGAACAACCAAATAGATGCAATAAAAATGATAAAGGGGAAATCACCACAGATTCCACAGAAATTCAAACCATCATCAGAGAATATTACAAACAACTCTATGCACATAAACTAGTAAACCTGGAAGAAATGGATAAATTCCTGGACTCCTGTGTCCTCCCAAGCCTAAACCAGGAGGAAGCTGAAACTATGAATAGACCAATAACAAGGTCTGAAGTTGAGGCAGCAATTAAGAGCCTACCTCACAAAAAAAGCCCAGGTCCAGATGGGTTCACAGCCGAATTCTACCAGACACACAAGGAGGAGCTGGTACCATTCCTTCTAAAACTATTTCAAACAATCCAAAAAGAGGGAATCCTTCCCAAATCATTTTATGAGACCAACATCATCCTGATACCAAAACCCGGCAGAGACCCAACGAGAAAAGAAAACTTCAGGCCAATATCCATGATGAACATAGATTCAAAAATCTTCAATAAAATATTGGCAAGCCGATTGCAACAGCAAATCAAAAAACTTATTCATCATGATCAAGTAGGATTCATCCCAGGGATGCAAGGCTGGTTCAACATACGCAAGTCTATCAACGTAATTTACCACATAAACAGAATCAAAAACAAAAACCACATGATTATCTCAATTGACGCAGAGAAGGCATTTGACAAAATTCAACAGCCCTTTATGCTAAAAACCCTCAATAAACTCGGTATCGAGGGAACGTATCTCAAAGTAATAAAAGCTATTTATGACAAACCAACAGCCAATATCATACTGAACGGGCAAAAACTGGAAGCATTCCCTCTGAAATCTGGTACTAGACAGGGATGCCCTCTCTCACCACTCCTATTCAATATAGTACTGGAAGTTCTAGCCAGAGCAATCAGGCAAGAAAAAGAAATAAAGGGTATTCAAATAGGAAAGGTGGAAGCCAAATTGTCTCTATTTGCAGACGACATGATAGTATACCTAGAAGACCCCATCGCCTCAGCCCAAAAACTCCTGAAACTGATAAACAACTTCAGCAAAGTCTCAGGATATAAAATCAATGTGCAAAAATCACAAGCATTCGTCTACACCAATAACAGACTTAAAGAAAGCCAAATCAAGAGCGAACTGCCATTCGCAATTGCTACAAAAAGAATAAAATACCTTGGAATACAACTCACAAGGAACGTAAGGGACCTCTTCAAGGAGAACTACAAACCACTGCTCAACGAAATCAGAGAGGACACAAACAGATGGAGAAACATTCCATGTTCATGGTTAGGAAGAATTAATATCGTGAAAATGGCTATACTGCCCAAAGTAATTTACAGAATCAACGCTATCCCCATCAAGCTACCATTGACTTTCTTCACAGAACTGGAAAAAACCACCATGAACTTCATGTGGAACCAAAAGAGAGCCCGCATAGCCAAGTCAATTCTAAGCAAAAAGAACACAGCGGGGGGCATCACACTACCGGATTTCAAACTATACTACAAGGCTACAGTAATCAAAACAGCATGGTACTGGTACCAAAACAGAGATATAGACCAATGGAACAAAACAGAGGCACCGGAGGCAACACAACATACATACAACTATACAATCTTTGATAAACCTGACAAAAACAAGCAATGGGGCAAGGATTCCATGTTTAACAAATGGTGTTGGGAAAACTGGCTAGCCATGTGCAGAAAGCAGAAACTGGACCCCTTCCTGACACCTTACACTAAAATTAACTCCAGATGGATTAAAGACTTAAACATAAGACCTGGCACCATAAAAACCCTAGAAGGAAATCTAGGCAAAACTATCCAGGACATAGGAGTAGGCAAGGACTTCATGAACAAAACACCAAGAGCATTGGCAACAAAAGCCAAAATAGACAAATGGGACCTAATGAAACTCCACAGCTTCTGCACGGCAAAAGAAACAGTCACTAGAGTGGATCGGCAACCAACAGAATGGGAAAAAATTTTCGCAGTCTACCCATCTGACAAAGGGCTGATATCCAGAATTTACAAACAACTCAAGCAGATTTACAGGAAAAAAACAAACAAGCCCATTCAAAAGTGGGCAAAGGATATGAACAGATACTTTACGAAAGAAGACATATATGAGGCCAACAATCATATGAAAAAATGCTCATCGTCACTGGTCATCAGAGAGATGCAAATCAAAACCACATTGAGATACCATCTCACGCCAGTTAGAATGGCGATCATTAAAAAATCTGGAGACAACAGATGCTGGAGAGGATGTGGAGAAAAAGGAACACTTTTACACTGTTGGTGGGAGTGTAAATTAGTTCAACCATTGTGGAAGACAGTGTGGCGATTCCTCAAGGCCTTAGAAATAGAAATTCCATTTGACCCAGCAATCCCATTACTGGGTATATATCCAAAAGACTATAAATCGTTCTACTATAAGGACACATGTACACGAATGTTCATTGCAGCACTGTTTACAATAGCAAAGACCTGGAATCAACCCAAATGCCCATTGATAATAGACTGGATTGGAAAAATGTGGCACATATACACCATGGAATATTATGCAGCAATCAGAAATGATGAGTTCGTGTCGTTTGTAGGGACATGGATGAATCTGGAAAACATCATCCTCAGCAAACTGACACAAGAACAGAAAATGAAACACCGCATATTCTCACTCATAGGTGGGTGATGAAAAATGAGAACACATGGACACAGAAAGGGGAGTACTAAACACTGGGGTCTATTGGGGGGAAAAGGGGAGGGCCAGTGGGAGGGGGAGGTGGGGAGGGATAGCCTGGGGAGAAATGCCAAATGTGGGTGAAGGGGAGAAGAAAAGCAAAGCACACTGCCATGTGTGTACCTACGCAACTGTCTTGCATGCTCTGCTCATGTACCCCAAAACCTATAATCCAATAAAAAAAAGAAAAAAAAAAAAAAAAAA